ATTGCCTGGCCTGTCTGGCTGTAGCAGGCAGCGAAGAAAATTGTAAATGTCTTTGGCCCCAAAAACATCTAGGCACAATTTTGTCCTCATCAATGTTATTTGCAAGAACATAATATTCAAACCATTCTGTATATGAGCCCCTCTGTATATGAGATGTAACTCAGTTGGTAGAGCATGGCGTTTGCAACGCCAGGGTTGAGGGTTCGAATCCCACGGGGGGTATGATTTTTATTTATTTATTATGTATGCACTAACTGTAAGTCGCTCTGGATAAGAGCGTCTGCTAAATGACAAAAATGTAAATGTAAAATGCTCAATACTTTAATCAAACTGTCTAATATTTCCAACAATTCCAGCCATATTTAGTTTCTCAATAGGCTCCTGATTGTCACTCACTTCAATATTGTCCTCAACCACGGCAACGTTCTGTTCTGCAATATTTAGTGATCTTCATTCACTTCACTCACTGATGTTTCCTCCTCAAGTTCGCTCATTTGTCAAGTTAGTCTTCACAAATGTCCTCCCTTTTTTAATCACGTTGTTTTCTCGCTCCGACGTCCGTCTCGAATCCGTTTCTGCCTTCCATTGGCGATACTAACTCCCTCTTAGCTAGCTAAACTAAGCACTTGCCTCTGCTAGCAATCCACTGAGCTAACAACATTAGCCTAGACTGTACCACGGAAAATAAGTCTTAAACTTGTAAAAACCGACTTATTCTGGACAGAATAGTTCCTGTAGGTTCAGACCTACTCATCGCCAATATTTTGTTATGTCTCGTGGGTTTCATAACCATCTTTATAACAATTCAATATTGATGAGACTGGAGACAGGAATCAGTTCAAACATTTATCTAGAACGTGCTCATCTGAACACATATTACCCATGATGCTCTGCCTATACAACTACCGTAAGGTGCAAATGATACAACCCTAATACACAACATGCAACACATTGGGAAATGTCTGTTTCCATAGCTTAAAATAAATACAATTCAACTGCAATGTATTGTTTTGCTAGCGGCAGTGTATATGATTGCCAGTGACTTTTTGTTGCTTCCTAAGCAGCTGAGCTGCTGGTCAGAGCCCAGGCAAGCCTATGCTGAGAGGATACTACAGCCCTGAGGAGGTTGGCCAGCCAGGTGGGTGGGCAGAGGCAGGCTGAGAATGCAGCAAGTAAGCTGAGGAGGAGCTGAGAAGGGAGAGACCCACATCCAGAGCTGCTGCAAACAGCCCTCCATCAGGGTAAGACACTCTGACAGGCATCTCCCCCGTAGCAGATGCAGCGGTGCTGGGAGAGGGGGGGGGGAGAATAGGTGCTGTGCCAGGCAAAGAGTGCTGCTGCCATGTTGCTTCTCCCCTGCTGTGTGTTTGTGTGTGTGCACCTGCGCATGTACGCCTGTGGTGTGTGTATGCGGTGTGGACGGAACGCTGCAGCAGCATTAATGGCTATGATCTGTTCCGTGTGAGGGAATGCATTGGGCCTCAGCTGTTGAACCACCACAGCTATCTCTTAGTAATGTGATGGCAGAGCCTCTATTTGATGAAGAGGGTTCTGGGGGCTGAGGTGGGAGGATGATTTACAGCATTGATGCTATTCTGCCTGGCTGGCGACTCTCGCAATTCGGCAGACACACGCTAGTTTTGGTTCTGCTTCTTCCCACAGTCTTTCATAGTCTGTTGACTTGTATTCATCCCAGCAAACCAAAAGTTGTAGGAAAGGTGTAAGGACATTTCCCCTAAAAGTTCTAGTGACACAATCTGTCCAGAATAAATATATATATGTGTGTGTGTGTGTGTGTCCAGTTGTGTTGATTATACAATGTTTGGTATTAGGGTGGAAAAAATAATGTTAACAGAACATATTTTGCATGTTATTTTAAAGTTCCCAAAATGTTTCATTATGTTGTGAGAACAGTGTGGGTGCATGACAAGATATACAGTGCCTTCGGAAAGTATTCAGACCCCTTGACTTTTTCCACATTTTGTTACGTTAGACTTATTCTAAAATGGATTAAAAAATAATAATAATCCCCAGTAATCTATACACAATACCCCATAATGACAAAGCGAAAACAGGCTTTTAGATTTTATTTGCTAATTTATGAAAAATAAACACATAAATACCTTATTTACATAAGTATTCAGACCCTTTGCTATGAGACTCAATTGTGCTTGGGTGCATCCTATTTCCAATGATCATCCTTGAGATGTTTCTACAACTTGATTGGAGTCCACCTGTGGTAAATTCAATTGATTGGACATGGAAAAGCACACAGCTGTCTATATAAGGTCCCACAGTTGACAGTGCATGTCTGAGCATAAACTAAGCCATGAGGTCAAAGGAATTGTCCGTAGAGCTCCGAGACAGGATTGTGTCGAGGCACAGATCTGGGGAAGGGTACCAAAACATTTCTGCAGCATTGAAGGTACCCAAGAACACAGTGGCCTCCATCATTCTTAAATGGAAGAAGTTTGTAACCACCAAGACTCTTCCTAGAGCTGGCCGCCTGGCCAAACTGAGCAATCGGGGGAGAAGGGCCTTGGTCATGGAGGTAACCAAGAACCCGATGGTCACTGACAGAGCTCCAGAGTTCCTCTGTGGAGAAATGTCTAAAAACCTGTTTTTTGCTTTGTCATTATGGGGTATTGTGTGTAGATTGATGGGGGGGGGGGCTTATTTCATCCATTTTAGAATGGGGCTGTAACATAACAAAATGTGTTAAAAGTCAAGGGGTCTGAATACTTTCCGAATGCACTAACAGATGCATATCTGTATTCCCAGACATGAAATCCATAGATTATGGCCTAATGAATTTATTTCAATTGACTGATTTCCTTATGAACTGTAACTCAGTCAAATCTTTGAAATTGTTGAAAGTTGCGTTTATATTTTTGTTCAGTATACATTCCCTGGCAGGCTAATGAGATCCTTAGGGGAATGTTCTGTGGTAGTTTTTACAGATGTTGTGAACAACATTTTTGTGAATGTTAGAACATTCCAAGGAAATTGTATTCCAAGCATTTTCTTAGAAAAAATATTTGGTGATTTAAAAAAAAAAACTTTTATTTTAATGTTTGTGGGATGTTATCATCCTAATGTTAGCTCAAACCCTAACAAGAACTTAATAGGAATGTTAGCTAATGTCCTGGGAATATTCCCAGTTTGCTGGGTTACATTTATGGGGAAAATAAATGTTCTGAAGTGTATTTGTTCAGATTCAATGGCACTCTCATAGGCAGCTTTGCTTTTCTGCATATTCCTCAATTATTTTAGAGGGACATATGTCTGCAGATATATTTACAGTAGATCTCTGAGATATACAGTGGAGAAAAAAAGTATTTAGTCAGCCACCAATTGTGCATGTTCTCCCACTTAAAAAGATGAGAGGCCTGTAATTTTCATCATAGGTACACGTCAACTATGACAGACAAAATGAGAATTTCTTTTCCAGAAAATCACATTGTAGGATTTTTAATTAATTAATTTGCAAATTATGGTTGAAAATAAGTATTTGGTCACCTACAAACAAGCAAGATTTCTGGCTCTCACAGACCTGTAACTTCTTCTTTAAGAGGCTCCTCTGTCCTCCACTCGTTACCTGTATTAATGGCACCTGTTTGAACTTGTTATCAGTATAAAAGACACCTGTCCACAACCTCAAAAAGTCACACTCCAAACTCCACTATGGCCAAGACCAAAGAGCTGTCAAAGGACACCAGAAACAAAATTGTAGACCTGCACCAGGCTGGGAAGACTGAATCTGCAATAGGTAAGCAGCTTGGTTTGAATAAATCAACTGTGGGAGCAATTATTAGGAAATGGAAGACATACAAGACCACTGATAATCTCCCTCGATCTGGGGCTCCACGCAAGATCTCACCCTGTGGGGTCAAAATGATCACAAGAACAGTGAGCAAAAATCCCAGAACCACACGGGGGGATCTAGTGAATGACCTGCAGAGAGCTGGGACCAAAGTAACAAAGCCTACCATCAGTAACACACTACGCCGCCAGGGACTCAAATCCTGCAGTGCCAGACGTGTCCTCCTGCTTAAGCCAGTACATGTCCAGGCCCGTCTGAAGTTTGCTAGAGTGCATTTGGATGATCCAGAAGAGGATTGGGAGAATGTCATATGGTCAGATGAAACCAAAATATAACTTTTTGGTAAAAACTCAACTCGTAGTGTTTGGAGGACAAAGAATGCTGAGTTGCATCCAAAGAACACCATACCTACTGTGAAGCATGGGGGTGGAAACATCATGCTTTGGGGCTGTTTTTCTGCAAAGGGACCAGGACGACTGATCCGTGTAAAGGAAAGAATGAATGGGGCCATGTATCGTGAGATTTTGAGTGAAAACCTCCTTTCATCAGCAAGGGCATTGAAGATGAAACGTGGCTGGGTCTTTCAGCATGACAATGATCCCAAACACACCGCCCGGGCAACGAAGGAGTGGCTTCGTAAGAAGCATTTCAAGGTCCTGGAGTGGCCTAGCCAGTCTCCAGATCTCAACCCCATAGAAAACCATTGGAGGGAGTTGAAAGTCTGTGTTGCCCAGCGACAGCCCCAAAACATCACTGCTCTAGAGGAGATCTGCATGGAGGAATGGGCCAAAATACCAGCAACAGTGTGTGAAAACCTTGTGAAGACTTACAGAAAACGTTTGACCTGTGTCATTGCCAACAAAGGGTATATAACAAAGTATTGAGAAACTTTTGTTATTGACCAAATACTTATTTTCCACCATAATTTGCAAATAAAATCATAAAAAATCCTACAATGTGATTTTCTGGATTTTTTTTCCTCATTTTGTCTGTCATAGTTGACGTGTACCTATGATGACAATTACAGGCCTCTCTCATCTTTTTAAGTGGGAGAACTTGCACAATTGGTGGCTGACTAAATACTTTTTTCCCCCACTGTAACTGGTGTCCGAATCTCTGTGAGGTGTTTTATGGTGTCTGTTCCAGCAGCTGCCTAACTTCCTGTTTGTTGTCTCAGGGGGACGCTCACGCTCGCCTGGACCATGAGCAATGAGTCTACCGTCTGGAACAACCTCACCGAGAACTCCACCGTAAGTCACCGCCAGGGCACCCTCCTGTGTGTGTTGTGGTGTGTGTGTGTGTGTGTGCTCTGCTAACTGCCAGAGCTGACTGTTCTCCCTCTATTCTGCCTGACTGGCTAATAGAGGGAACATCCTGGTCTGGGTCTGAAATAATTCAATCCATGATCTAATCTTACATTTATTTCCTCCTTTTAGAGAAATTATTATCTGATGTCAGCAGTCATCAACACTGGGGTAACATGCATATTACTGAGTGTATGGTACAGACGACAGTTTTTAACCTTGGTTACTGCATGGACTGTAGCCTTTGTGACTGTGGTATTAAACGGACGTACAATAGCAGCATAACTCTGTACTGCTGCTCTTGAGCGGTTTGCATCTAACAATGCAATGGATGAAGGAAGCCGCAGAAGTTTGTTTCTGATTGAACTAGCTAGAGAGTTCCTAAGCCTTTTTGTTTGGATAGTAGTGTATCAAGGGGACTTTCTGACTGTCTGATGCTTTTTCAATTAGCCACACACAGCTTCTCTAGAGCCAGAGTGACTTGACATGCTGTTGGCGAGGTAAAGGTTTACTGTCTAAAAGGAAGCTCTTACCTCTTTGTAAAGCTTTTAGGTAGACACAATTCTATCATATGGAAGTCCAACCTCATTCAGAATATGACATTTTTGGTCGAACCTAAACTATGTGTTAGACAGCCAGCCTAAAATCTCCTCCCGGTTGTATTCAGTCAGCTCCAGCACCACCCTCAGAGCACCTTTCCCTGTCTTAGGTGCAGACAGGTTACTAGCACAGGCCACAATTGATGAATAGCTCTGTGGCGTTTATAAATTCACTGTGCACAAATCAGTGGGGGTAAATCAATGGCTTCAAGCTGCATGCTGTAATTGGTAAGGTAATGCATCTGCACAGCGGGCTGTTTGGGGAGGTATTTCTCATAGCATTGTTTGTTTTTCACGTCTGAAAGCTACCAGACTTTGATCACTCTTACCATACCTGGTCTTACGCAATAGGTAGAAGTTATGTAGGTAGAGCATAATAATTGCTCTCTAACAAGTTAAAGCAATTAAAAGGAGAACTGTTGCTGAGGAAAGTGTAGCGTAGTGCAGTGTTGTCTTTTTTCCATTTAGCGCTCCTGCTGCCTTGTCTCACCTGAATAGCCTTCTCACACAGAGACCAGGGGAGCAATTAGCCAGGAAGCCCTGCTACAAGTGGCTTCTCTCTGGGCTTTGATGTTCATGTGGGAAGATGTGGTGTTTTTTTCTCCATTCTACACACAGCCTCTGCGGTACCTATCTCTCTCAGTAAACACCCATTCCTCTCGGGATCTTAGTCATGCACTTAAAGTCTCAACCCCAGAACAATGAGCACACCTGTGCACCCTCTCCCACTCTCCCTCCGCCCACTAACCACAGTAGCATAACACACAGGCAGGGTATGAGCCACCAAACCTCAATCTGAAACAATAGATGTAGATCAAATGTAATTACATTGTCTCGATTAATTGGAGGGGGGCACCTTTAAAGATCCAAGGGTTATTTTTATACCTGGTTTTAGCACCTAGCTAAACCCTCAACCAAATTTCTCCTATTCTGGTCTATTCTTTCATCAGTCCTTCACATCCCTTCGTCTCTAGTCTCTACAGTTTCTACAGCTGCCACTGTCCCTCATCCTCTCGCCAATGTTTCTCCAGGGGGTCCCATTTGAGCCTGGTAAACAACAGAATGGTTACGTCCTGCTCCTGGTGCTCCTGTCCATCTTCCTAGGGGGAACACTGGTCCTGCTGTCTGTCATCCTGATTGTCTGCAGACGCTGCTGTGATGGAGACCGCCACTATGCCAGGTCAGACCACTAGTCTACATGGTTTAGTGATGTAGCTATGTATGTCTGAGTGAGACGGAGACCATCCAAATATTTGTATAGAAAGCTATGTTTATTCCATTATCATGCTCCTCCCCTTTCTGTACACAGCAGCAGATACAGAGGCAGACTCAGTGGCAGGCTGGCCGGGGTAGAGTAGTGCTGACTGGTACAAATGATGAGTGTAATGATATTTCATAGCAGCCAATGGCGGTGATTAATCTTGCGTCTCACATTGCTATAAGCTCTGGCTGCAGCCCTGTGAAACACACACGCACACGCAGAGAGCACAAAGGAAATGAAAGCACAGAGCCGGGCGGCCAGAGAAATCCCTCAAGTCATTCTCTCACAGATAATATAGCACAAAGGAACCGCAGATGCACTGACAGGGAAGAGACCTCGGCTGCTCTACTGCTCCAGTATAAGGCTGTGGTGGGGGTCAAAAACACAGTGCATCCAGGGCAATTAGCAATAATATAGGGAAGAAAAAATTCCTCCCCTTAGAGAAATGTATAGGATTAGAACTGCAGATCAGAATAAATATTTTCATTTGTACCATAGGTATTAGTAGACATTTAATCTAGTAATATTTATTAGTAGAAATAATACTAATATTAGAAAACCTATCACAGGAGGTTGGTGGCACCTTAATTGGGGAGGACGGGCCCGTGGTATACATGGTTTCCATGTGTTTGATGCCATTCCATTTGCTCCGTTCCAGCCATTATTATGAGCCATCCTCCCCTCAGCGGCCTCCACTGAAACCCATAGTATAGAACTGACATCCCATGCTCTATTGAAGAGGTCAGGAGGTTCCTTCTCCCTGAAGGTTTCCATGTCACCTGACATGATTTACATGTGCATTGATTATGCTGCTACTAGTCAGATTGACCTTGGTGTGAGAGTATCCTGGTCCTCTCTATGTGCTCCTGTCAGCTGGCCTACAGTTCTAAATGCATAGAAAACATCTCAAATCACACCTTATTCCCTATATAGTGCACTACTTTTGGTCAAAGTAGTGCACTAAATAGAGAATAGGTTGTGATTTGAGACAGAGCCATAGACTTCAGGGTTAATCATGTCTGTGCATTGATCTACTCCTATGTGCTGCAGTGCCAGTGACGACCCTGAGAAAACCAACACAACCTACACTGAGGAGTCTCAGCCAGTCCATGGTGAGTGAGGGAGAGTCAAACCATGTTTATCATTCGTCAGCACTTGGGAAAATAATGTATAGCAGCCGAATGCAAATTATTTATTTAAAGTCGCTAATGTTTCGGCAGGAAGCTACCTCCATCAGGGTTTCTTAGCAGTCTCTGGTAAACACTCGTAGCCATTGGACATATTGCCATGTTCTATCCCAAGAACACAACATTTTGTGAAAGTGAGGCTATGCTCCTCTGATACGTAGTCATGCTGTGTAAATACAAACATTTAGATGTGGGTTATCTGAGGATCTGCTGTGTATGACAATTCAGGAACACATTTACATTCATTAAGCAAGACAAGGTACTTAAAGTGCCTTCAGAAAGTATTCACACCCCTATACTTTTTCCACATTTTGTTGTGTTACAAGGTGGGATTAAAATTGATTTAATTGTAATTTTTTTGTCAACAATCTACACAAAATACTAATGTAAAAGTGGAAGAAAAATTCGAACATTTATTTGAAAAATATATATAATAAATAAAACGCTAATATACAGTATCTTGATTACAAAAGTATTCAACCCCCTGAGTCAATACATGTTAGAATCACCTTTGGCAGTGATTTACAGCTGTGAGTTGTTTTGGGTAAGTCTCTAAGAGCTTTGGACACCTGGATTGTGTATACTGAACAAACATAAACGCCATAGATTTTCAAGCCGATTTAAGTCAAAACTGTAACTAGGCCACTCAGGAACATTCAATGTCGTCTTGGTAAGCAACTCCAGTGTTTTAGGTTATTGTCCTGCTGAAAGGTGAATTTGTCTCCCAGTGTCAGTTTGAAAGCAGACTGAACCAGGTTTTCCTCTATTGTGTTCATTGTCCGTAGCTTATACCTACCCAAACTATAACCCCACCGCCACCATGGGGCACTCTGTTCATAACATTGACATGACCAAAAAGCTCGCCTACACGACGCCATACACGTGTTCTGCGGTTGTGAGGCCGGTTGGTCCAAACACACCAAGACAGTTGTGAAGAGGGCACGACAACACCTTTCCCCCCTCAGGAGACTGAAAAGATTTGGCATGGGTCCCCATATCCTCAATGTTCTACAGCTGCACCACAGAGAGCATCCTGACCGGTTGCTTCACCTCCTGGTATGGCAACTGCTCGGCACAAAAGAGGGTAGTGTGTACGGCCCAATACATCACTGGGGCCAAGCTTCCTGCCATCCAGGACCTTTTTTATATTAGGCGGTGTCAGAGGAAGGCCCAAAAAATTGTCAGACTCCCGTCACCCAAGTCATAGACTGTTCTCTCTGCTACCGCACGGCAAGCGGTACCGGAGTGCCAAGTCTAGGTCCAAAAGGCTCCTTAACAGCTTCTACCCCCAAGCTATAAGACTGCTGAACAATTAATCAAATGGCCACCCGAACTATTTACATTACTTTAGTTTATTTAGTAAATATTTTCTTAACCAACAACACCTTTCAAGAAATAGAGTTAAGGGCTTGTAAGTAAGCATTTTACGGTAAGGTCTACACCTGTTGTATTCGGCGCATTTGACAAATACAATTTGATTAGATTTTTATTGTGTACAGGCCAGTGACACCAAAAATCTAAATTTAAACCATTTAAAATTCAGGCTGTAACAACAAAATGTGGAACAAGTCAAGGGGTGTGAATACTTTCTGAAGGTACTGTACCTAAGACAAGGTACATTTAGTATACTATCAGATCTGTTATGTCTTTTTTAATGTATTCATGTATTAGAACAAGCACAGCTCCATTTGGAATAAAAATGTCATACATAAATTACTAGACATACACACATTTGCATGACAACAAGACAACAGTAAGTGAGGCTGTGGTACTGTTCGTCCACCCCCTCCTCCCCCAGCAGAGATCACCATCCGGGTGGACGAGTCGGACTGCCTGTCGGCCGCCAGCTCCCACATGGACATGGAGACGGAGCGCTTCCTGTCCACGGGCACCCAGGGCGGCCGCCGCGTTTCCTTCAACGAGGCGGCGCTCTTCGACCACGGCAAGAAGGCCCTGGAGAAAGGCCGCAGGTCAGATGGATCCATCCGCCAGATGCCCACTCACTCCCCCACACTAGACCACGCTGAATATGCTCAATATTCTGCACTACAGTACGACTGCCTTAGCAACAAAGTGTTTGTGTTAAAAATGTGTGAAAAGATTGGCGCTTATTTTGTTACATTGGAAGACATTATGGAGAGACTTTCTAAGAGCCTGTGTAATACATTATAAAGGCAGTAATACATTATAAAGGCAGTAATACATTATAAAGGCAGTTTGAAGAGCTGTTATGGATGCTTTATTATAGGGTAATTATAGGGACTGATGCTCTGAAAATACATTATTCATAGAAAGGGTTTCATAATTGTGCAATGTAGCCTACTTTAGCTATAGAATGTGGCTCTGTGTTTGCAAAGGGTTAACCACATCAATTAATTCATATTATAAACTGGGTGGGTTGAGCCCTGAATGCTGATTGGCTGAAAGCCGTGGTATTTCAGACCGTATACCACGGGTATGACAAAAATTTACTGTTCTAATTACGTTGGTAACCAGTTTATAATAGCAATAAGGCACCTCAGGTGTTTGTGGTATATGGCCAATATATGACAGCTAATGGCTGTGTCATTTACATTTACATTTTAGTCATTTAGCAGACGCTCTTATCCAGAGCGACTTACATTTAATTTTTTAAATTTTTTTAATACTGGCCCCCCGTGGGAAACGAACCCACAACCCTGGCGTTGCAAACACCATGCTCTACCAACTGAGCTACATCCCTGCCGGCCATTCCCTCCCCTACCCTGGACGACGCTGGGCAAATTGTGCGCCGCCCCATGGGTCTCCCGGTCATGGCCGGCTACGACAGAGCCTGGATTCGAACCAGGATCTCTAGTGGCAAGGCTAGCACTGCGATGCAGCGCCTTAGACCACTGCACCACTCGGGAGAAACAACACTCCGTGTTGCGCCGTGCATAAGAACAGCCCTTATTCGTGGTAAATTGGCCATATGCCACACCTCCTCGGGCCTTATTGCTTAAATGTATTATGTATGGTAACTAAGCTATGTGTGCTCTCTCTTTCTGACTGTCCTAGTTCTTTGCATGAGCCCTACCTCATTCTGATATGCAAATGAAGAATACAGATTCTGTAGGGCAAAATACACATTACAGCTGAGCCTTGAGTTTGAAGTGAGAAAATCTGTGTTTTATCGCTTGAAAGTAAACGCAGCTCAGTAACTGCATCCATGTTGCATCAGCATTCTCTATACAGCATCTCTCTCTAAACCAATGATCTCTGATCCTGGTCCCAGGAACCTACAGGGTGTGCAAGCTTTTTTTTCCAGCCCAGTACTAAAAACTTCCAACAAAGGAAACTGTTGATTATTAGTTCAATCAGGTGTAGTGATAGTCGAGAACAAAATACTTCACTCCTTGCGGGTCCCAAGGACAAGGATAGAAGAACATTCCTTGAAAGTGATTGCACAATAGCACTTCTATTGCATCAGCCTTGAACTCTCTGAACTGTTTCTCAACTGTTTTCCACCTCAGGTACACGTTGACTGAGGGTGACTTCCACCACCTGAAGAATGCGCGGCTCACACACCTCCACATCCCGCCCCTGGCCCTCAAGATAGACACCATCCACGAGTGTGAGTCATTGGAGAACAGCATTGCCATGACAACCCGCCCCGCCGCCAAGTCCAGCCTCTCCATCTTCCAGGTGACAGCCATGCTACTGTGCTGCTATTAGCATTGATACATCATTAGTCATGACTTGGTCAATTAGGCCATCCATCAGTGTAGGGGCCCACAACATGTTTCAGCCCTATCAGATACAGCCCCATGGATCATTCTGCCTCCTCATTCCAATGGGCCATATACATTGATTTTGCATTTAACTGAGGTTTCTCAATCATTGTGTGTGTGTGTGTGTGTGTGTGTGTGTGTGTAGCCGGCGCTGTGTGCCCTGCGGCCCCTGCGGACCCTGTGTCCCCTGCCCCAGACAGCATTGACCAGTCTGAGTGTCAGCCCCAGCTCAGGCCTCCCTGGGGACACCCTCAACTCGGTGGTGGACTCCAGCTTCAGTGAGAGTGCCCCGGGACCCAAGGAGCCCAGCAGCAGCGTGAGTCACTTACCCCTATCTATCAATCAGTCAACCCACCAACGAACCAATCAATCAAATATTATGTACAGTATTAAACACTACATTAAGCAACTCAGTTAATCACTCATCATCACATACAAAGGGTATATCTACAGTGCCTACAGAAAGTGTTCACCCCCTTGACACATTTTGTTGTGCTACAGCCTGAATAAAAAATTGGTTGAATTGAGATTTCAACCAATTTTATAATGTCAAAGTGGAATTATATTTTTCATTTTAATTTTTTTAACCAATTAATTACAAATGAAAAGCTGAAATGTCTTGAGTCAATAAGTATTCAACCCCTTTGTTATGGCAAGCCTAAATAAGTTCAGGAGTAAACAAGTCACATAATAAGTTGCTTGGACTCACTTTGTGTGCAATAATAGTGTTTTTTTTAATGACTACCTCATCTCTGTACCCCAAACTTACAATTATCTGTGAGGTCCCTCAGTTTAGCAGTGAATTTCAAACACCGATTCAACCACAAGACCAGGGAGGTTTTCCAATGCCTCACTAAGAAGGGCACCTATTGGTAGATGGGGTAAACATTCTAAAAAGGCGACATTGAATATCCCTTTTAGCATTGTGAAGTTATTAATTGCACTTTGGATGGTGTATCAATACACCCAGTCACTACAAAAATACAGGCGTCCTTCCTAACTCAGTTGCCGGAGAGGAAGGAAACTGCTCAGGGATTTCACCATGAGGCCAATGGTGACTTTAAAACAGTTACAGAGTTTAATGGCTGTGATAGGAGAAAACTGAGGATGGATCAACAACATTGTAGTTACTCCACAATACTAACCTAATCGACCCTTTCTGTGTTTGCAAACATTGCCACACAAGGGCGATGCACACAAGTTGGTGGCAGAACAAGGGGGAGTTCTTATAGGACGCCATCAAAAAAGCCTCTATTTACATGTTGCTTATGAGTGCATTACACACTACTTTTGAATTATAATTGGATTATAAGACTCGTATGTATGTCCTGCTTAATATAATGTTTGTGTCATCATCGCAAATCAACTGCATTATACTTAAACACTTCAACTTCAACCAGGAAACTGGTTCTTTGGCTAGCTTTTTCTACAGCGTATATCAATGAGCGTTAACAACTGCTGCATCCAAAATAGTTATTTTGCAAAGATCACAACCAAATGTAATCTTAGCAACTGTTCAAGCAAGAATCAAAACATCATTGTAAGCGTATGAGAACCCCAAAAAGTTATTTGTTGAATGGGCGCAGATGGCGATGGCTTTCTTACTGCCGCCAAGAGTTGTGCGTGATGTCCAACTCCATACCAGAGGAGAGGAGTTTGTGGTCCGCGTATGTACCGATCTGCATGTTCCTTTTTACATCTATTCTGCACCTGTCACTTATTTGGAGAGTAAATATCACACTAATCCAGGGGTCTCTAACCTTTTCTAGCATGAGCGCTACTTTAAAAAAATGAAACATGTTGCAAGCTACTAATGGTTCTGTACTGCTGCTGCTCATTTCATGGAAAAGTTTGCAAATAACAAATAATAGATACAAATAATATACTGTACTTACTCGTGGTCTACTTCTGCCAGGTAAGCCTACTTTGCAGTTAACATTTAATTAAAAGGTTTTGGAGAAAAGTGGGGAGGCAGGGTGTTGTGTACTGCAAAAGGGTCTATTGACAGAGTGAAAGAAGGAAGCGTGTACAGAATAAAAATATTCCAAAACATGCATCCTGTTTGCAACAAGGCACTAAAGTAATACTGCAAAAAATGTAGCAAAGCAATTAACTTCTTGTCCTGAATACGGTGTTATGTTTGGGGCAAATCCAACAAATCACAGAGTACCACTCTTCATATTTTCAAGCATGGTGGCTGCATCATGTTATGGGTATGCTTGTCATTGGCAAGGACTAGGGAGTTGTTTTGGATTTAAAAAATAATGGAATGGAGCTAAGCACAGGCAAAATCCCAGAGGAAAACCAGTTCTGTCTGCTTTGCACCAGACACTGGGAGATTAATTCACCTTTCAGCAGGACAATAACCTAAAACACAAGGCCAAATCTACACTGGAGTTGCTTACCAAGAAGGAAGTGAATGTTCCTGAGTGGTCGAGTTACAGTTTTGACATAAATCTACTTGAAAATCTATGGCAAGACCTGAAAATGGTTGTCTAGCAATGATCAACAACCAATTTGACAGAGCTTGAAGAATTTTGAAAAGAACAATGGGCAAATGTTGCACAATCCAGGTGTGGAAAGCTCTTAGAGACTTACCCAGAAAGACTCGCTTCTCTAATCACTGCCAAAGGTGCTTCCACAAAGTATTGACTCGGGTGTGTGAATACTTATGTAAATTAGATATTTCTGTATTTCATTTTCAATAAATTTGCAAACAACTCTAAAATCACATTTTCACTTTGTCATTATGGGGTATTGTGTGTAGAGGGGTGAGAACCCCCTACATGATTGCAAATATACAAATGGGTTGCGCACACACACAGTAGCACACATTAAGCTTGAGGAAACGTTGGAGCCTAGAGGTCATCATGAAGCCTCTGAACCATTAGAGGAGAAGTACAGTGTGCATCCAGTGTCCCTAGTCACTCTGTCTGAGTGACAACAGTGGTGGAGGATGATGGGTAAACAAGGGAGAGCCTCTGGAAAGGCCTTGTTCGGGGAAGATTACACACACCACTGCTCCCCACATCTCCTCATCGCTCCTGGCTGTTCACTGGCTCCACTTTCCTTCTCCGTGGTAGATTGGAGAAAGTTAACTGTTGCATGGCAAATTTTCACATTTTTGTTGTTTTTCTTAACCTTGGGAGGAGAGAGAGCAAATAAAAACTAATTTTTCTATCAACTTACATTTTTTCTTTGAGTGGTTGAGTTCCTTTTCATATTACAATCACACAATATGGACAATTCCCTTATCCCCTCCCTGACGTGGATGTCGATTAAGGCAGCCCCCACCCCCGCACCTCTCTGATTCAGAGGGGTTGTGTTAAATGCGGAAGACCCATTTCGGTTGAATGCATTCAGTTGTGCAACTGACTAGGTTTCCCCTTTCCCTCTCTCTCCCCCAGATTGAGGTGATGGTTTCTGGCTCCAGGAATGGGGGCAGTCCGTCTTTGAGTGAGGGGGCATCGGTGACGTCTGTGATGGGTGTGTCCCCTAGCGTGGGGGTGGGACAGGGCCCGGTCCTGCAGTTCTTCACCAAGCTGAGGCGTCATGCCAGCCTGGAGGGGGCCAGCCCATACTTCAAGATCAAGAAGTGGAAGCTGGATAGCAGCCAGCGGGCTTCCAGTCTGGACACCAGAGGTAGAACAGACTTCTTGTTAATACTCATGAATAGTATGTTGTAGGCGTACTGTATGTACAGAATGATAGATGGAGCATCACCTTCATTTAAATGGTTCTTTGTACTCGGATTTAGTGTACAAATTCTATTTTAAAGACAATGCTTCTTAAGAATGAGGTCCAACTGCAAGAGGCTTCACTTGACTGCCAAGGCGCATTGTGTACACACACACACACACACACACACACACACACACACACACAGAGACAGACAGATGGCTTTATGACGCAGTGTTCTTCTCTTCCAAGGCATTGTGAGCCAAACTGAAGCCTCCCCACAGCTTTCCTCACAAACACACAAATACTGCTCCCTCCCCTGCTCCCCCTATACACAGGTAACAACAGAGCACACAGGACTAACACCCCCCAAATACACTATATATACAAAAGTATGTAGACACCCTTTCAAATTAGTGGATTTGGCTATTTCAGCCACACCCGTTGCTGACAGGTGTATAAAACTGAGCACAAAGCCATGCAAAAATACACCTTATGGAACAGCGGAGACTGTGAAGCAACACAAACATAGACGCATGCATACAAACACATAACATACGCACTATACACACATGTACACATGGATTTTGTGTTATAGATATGTGGTAGTAGAGTAGAGGCCTGAGGGCACACACTTAATATGTTGTGAAATCTGTTATGAATGTGTTGTAATGTTTTTAATATGTATAACTGCCTTACTCTTCCTGGGGTCCAGCAAAATGATCTGCTGCCTTGGCAGCAGCTAAGGGGATCCATAATAAATACAAATACAAATCTCCATAGACAAACATCGGCAGTAGAATGGCTTTACTGAAGAGCTCAGTGACTTTCAGCGTGGCACCGTCGTAGAAATCATCTGTCCTCGGTTGCAACACTCACTACCGAGTTCCAAACTGCCTCTGGAAGCAACGTCAGCACAAGAACAGTTTGTCGGGAGCTTCGTGAAATGGGTTTCCAAGCCCGAGCAGCCGCACACAAGCCTAAGATCACCATGCGCAATGCCAAGTGTCGGCAGGAGTGGTGTAAAGCTCACCGCCATTGGACTCTTGAGCAGTGGAAACGCGTTCTCTGGCGTGATAAATCACGCTTCACCATCTGGCAGTCCGACAGACAAATCTGGTTTTGGCGGATGCCAGGAGAATGCTACCTGCCCCAATGCATAGTGCCAACTGTAGAGTTTGGTGGAGGAGGAATAATGGTCTGGGGCTGTTTTTCATGGTTCGGGCTAGGCCCCTCAGTTCCAGTGAAGGGAAATCTTAACGCTACAGCATACAATTACATTCTAGACGATTCTGCGCTTCCAACTTTGTGGCAACAGTTTGTGGAAGGCCCTTTCCTGTTTCAGCATGACAATGCCCCCGTGCACAAAGCGAGGTCCACACAAATGGTTTGTCGAGATCAGTGTGGAAGAACCTGACCTCAACCCCATCAAACACCTTTGGGCTGAATTGGAACGCCGACTGCGAGCCAGGCCTAATCGCCCAACATCAGTGCCCGACCTCACTAATGCTCGTGGCTGAATGGAAGCAAGTCCCCGCAGTGTCACGCCCTGGCTCTGGGGACACTTGTATGTTGAGCCAGGGTGTGAGTTTCATTTGTAATCTGTGTTCTATTTCTATTTTGGCCAGTGTGGTTCTCAATCAGAGGCAACGAGTGTCAGCTGTGGCTGGTTGTCTCTGATTGGGAACCACATTTTAAACAGGCTGTTTTCCCACAGTAGTTGTGGGATCTTGTTCCTTTTGGTTTGTACCGTAGGACTGCACGTATCGTTTGTTGTTTTGTTCGGATATCACAAATAAAAGAGTATGTTTGCTTTCAACGCTGCGCCTTGGTCCTCCTCTGTTCCCGACGATCGTGACAGAAGATCCCACCAAAACTGGACCAAGCAGCGTGTCCAGGAGCCATCGCCAGGGGAATCTCTAGCGGATCGCCTTTGCAACCTCGACTGGGCCAAGCCAAGTGAAGAGCAGAGAGGTTGGACTTTGGAGCAGTGGAGTAAGAGTCTTGACTGGGCCAAGCCAAGTGAAGAGCAGAGAGGTTGGACTTTGGAGCAGTGGGGTGAGAGTCTGGCGAAAAGTATGGAGACCTGGTCCACGGGTAGGAGAGAAGCCCAGACATTTTTTAGGGGGGGGGGGCTAACGCCGTGGACGACGGGGCAGCAGGAGACCGCGATAGAGCGGCCCAGCGGGTTGGCAGAGGAGGCCGCCAGGTTACGGGGGCCACTGGTCAAAGAGGGGAAGGAAGGTGTAGAGGCACGGCGAGAGGTACTGGGGTGTGTTACCAGTCCGGTCCGGCCCGTTCCAGATCCCTGCGTAGGGCCAGTGGTGTGTGTCCCCAGTACGGTCCGGTCTGTTCCTGCTCCCCGCACCAAGCCAATGGTGCGCGTCGCCAGCCCGGCCCGTCCTGTTCCTGCTCCCCGCACCAAGCCAATGGTGCGCGTCGCCAGCCCGGCCCGTCCTGTTCCTGCTCCCCGCACCAAGCCAATGGTGCGCGTCGCCAGCCCGGCCCGTCCTGTTCCTGCTTCCCGCACCAAGCCTATGGTGCGCGTCGCCAGCCCGGTCCGGCCTGTTCCTGCTTCCCGCACCAGGCCAATGCTGCGCGTCGCCAGCCCGGTCCGGCCCGCTCCTGCTCCCCGCACCAAGCCAATGGTGTGCGTCGCCAGCCCGGTCCGGCCCGCTCCTGCTCCCCGCACCAAGCCAATGGTGCGCGTCGCCAGCCCGGCACGGCCCATGCCTGTTCCCCACACCAAGCCAGTGGTGTGCGTCGTCAGTCCGGCACGGCCCGTGCCTGTTCCACCGGTGCCTGGTCCGGCACCGGTCAGATGCTTCACGCCGGAGCTAGAGCAATCCGCTCCACCAGTGTGCAGTCCAGCTCCGGCCAGCGGGGCCAGACCGGACCAGGGGTACTTTGGGGGGTTGGAGAGGGAGTGGGGATCAGGCCTGGAGCCGGATCCGCCGCCAAGGCGGAGTGCCCACCCGGTCCCTCCCCTGTGGTATTTAGTTGCCGCGGTCGGAGTCCGCGCCTTTAGGGGGGGGGGTACTGTCACGCCCTGGCTCTGGGGACACTTGTATGTTGAGCCAGGGTGTGAGTTTCATTTGTATTCTATGTGTTCTATTTCTATGTTGGCCAGTGTGGTTCTCAATCAGAGGCAACGAGTGTCAGCTGTGGCTGGTTGTCTCTGATTGGGAACCACATTTAAACAGGCTGTTTTCCCACAGTAGTTGTGGGATCTTGTTCCTTTTGGTTTGTACCATAGGACTGCACGTATCGTTTGTTGTTTTGTTCGGGTATCACAAATAAAAGAGTATCTGTTCCCGACGATCGTGACACGCAGCAATGTTCCAACATCTAGTGGAAAGCCTTCCCAGAAGAGTGGAGGCTGTTACAGCAGCAAAGGGGGGACCAACTCCATATTAATGCCCATGATTTTGGAATGAGATGTTCGATGAGCATGTGTCCTCATACTTCTGGTCATGTAGTGTATCTCAAAGCCCGCTGGTATCTCTTCAGCTGACTGGTACTCTACATAACCAGACAAGACATGCTAACCTCTCACCATTACAATAACAGGGAAGGTTAGCATTTTTTGGGGGGGGGTATGATATTTGTGCGTCTTTGTCACTCATCATTATTCACGATTCATTCAGGACTATGTGTAATCATGGTAGCATCCACATTAATGTGGAAGTGTTTATTAACATATTCTATTCTCATTTACTTTAAAAGTGATTCCAAAATGACACTACATTATTTAACATTTAATTGCTATTGCATTCAACAAGTTTGTAGAGTCACAAGCTTGATGTAATCATTGCATGCCAGGAATATGGTACCAAATACTAAACATTTGAGTAATTGAAATACACAAGTTAATTTTTCCCAATACTTTTGGTCCCCTAAATGGGGGGACTATGTACAAACAGTGCTATAATTTCTAAACGGTACACCCAATATGGATGAAAATACCCTCATATTAAAGCTGTCAGTCTTTTAACCCCATAGTCAGGGTCTCATTTCAAATCCAAAGTGCTGGAGTATAGAGCCAAAACAACATAAAATGTGTCACTGTCCCAATACATTTGTAGCTCACTTATATGTTTGGGGCAAATCCAATACAACACATTACTTAGTCCCAGTCTCCATATTTTCAAGCATAGTGGTGGCTGCATCATGTTATGGTTATGCTTGTAATCTTTAAGGACTGGGGAGTTTTTCAGGATAAAAAATTAACTAATGGAGCTAAACACAGGCAAAATCCTAGAGGAAAACCTTGTTCAGAGTGCTTTCCACCAGGCACTGGGAGATTAATTCACCTTTCAGCAGGACAATAACCTAAAACACAAGGCTTACCAAGAAGTTGCTTACCAAGAAGACCGTGAATGTTCCTGAGTAGCCGAGTTAGATTTTCAAGCAGATTAAAGTCAAAACTATGGCAAGACTTGAAAATGGTTGTGTAGCAATGCTCAACCAATTTGACAGCATTTTTAAAATTAATAATGGGCAAATATTGTACAATCCAGGTGTGCAAAGCTCTTAGACTTACCCATAAAGATATTTCTGTATTTCATTTTCAATAAATGTGCAGAAATGTCTAAAAACATGTTTTCACTGTCATTATTGGGTTTTGTGTGTAGATGGGAAGAATAAATAAAAAAATATTTAATCAATTTTGAATTCAGGCTGTAACATAACAAAACGTGGAATAAGTCAAGGGGTATGAATACGTTCTGAAGGCATTGTATTCATGCTACACACACAGCACAACTGCTGCTACCAGACTGTTTAAATTGTGCAGTATTAAGCTATCATAATAACTCCTTCCCCAAAACACGTGTAAATATTGGACTATAAATTGTGCCTTACTGTGTTATACTTATGCTAAAATGTTTTCTATTCTACTGAGCCATTTACTTTATGTTCGTATTCTTATCTTTTATTAGTTCTTATTGTTGTTGCATTGTCGAGAAGGAACCTGCAAGTAAGCATTTAGTTGAATGGTGTATACCATGTGTATCCCATACATACGACTAATACAACTTGAAACTTGATATGCCATGGTGAATGTTTGTGCTAACATCCCATGTCTCTCTGTAGCCTTGGACTAATGTTTGCCCTCCTTCGTCCTGTGTGTCAGGGTCCCCTAAGAGGAGGCAGTTCCAGCGGCAGCGCGCCGCCAGCGAGAGCATGGACCAGGAGGATAACGACGCCCACCACATGGACCTCATCCAGTACATCGCCCGCACCCAGGACGTCACCTACCACCCCAGCCCCTCCGCCTCAGCCCACCTCCTCTCCCCCTCCTCCCCCTCCAAGCCACCACCCTCCCTCGGCAGGTATCTTTAATTCCCTCGCCATCCTTCCACCTCACTGCTTTGCCTCAATCATCAATACGGTAGCTAACGCCACTCTGCTTAATGGGAGTATTATGGATCGTTTTGCGTATGTTTTCCCTGTTAAGGTTAGGATTTGAGTAGAGCAAGCTGATCCTAGATCTGTGCCTACAGGGAACTTTTACCCACAGCTGCTTAACCAGCCAGCCCATTCCATCACTGATGCAGAGTGATGATGTCAAATCAAATCACATTTTATTTGCCACATGCACCGAATACAACAAATGTAGACATTACAGTGAAATGCTTACTTACAGCCCTTAACCAACAATGCATTTATTTCTTAATAAAAAAGTAAAATAACACAACAAAAAAAGTGTTGAGAAAAAAAGAGCAGAAGTAAAATAAAATAACAGTAGGGAGGCTATATACAGGGGGGTACCGGTGCAGAGTCAATGTGCGGGGGCACCGGCTAGTTGAGGTAATATGTACATGTGGGTAGAGTTAAAGTGACTATGCATAAATGATTAATAGAGTAGCAGCAGCGTAAAAAGATGGGGTGAGGGTGCAAATAGTCCGGCTAGCCATGATTAGCTGTTCAGGAGTCTTATGGCTTAGGAGTAGAAGCTGTTGAGAAGCCTTTTGGACCTAGACTTGGCGCTCCGGTACCGCTTGCCGTGCGGTAGCAGAGAGAACAGTCTATGACTAGGGTGGCTGGAGTCTTTGACAATTTTGAGGGCCTTCCTCTGACACCACCTGGTATAGAGGTCCTGGATGGCAGGAAGCTTGGCCCCAGTGATGTACTGGGCCGTACGCACTACCCTCTGTAGTGCCTTGCGGTCAGAGGCAGAGCAGTTGCCATACCAGGCGGTGATGCAACCAGTCAGGATGCTCTCGATGGTGCAGCTGTATAACTTTTTGAGGATCTGAGGACCCATGCCAAATCTTTTCAGTCTCCTGAGGGGGAATAGGCTTTGTCGTGCCCTCTTCACGACTGTCTTTGTGTGTTTGGACCATGATAGTTCATTGGTGATGTGGACACCAAGGAACTTGAAGCTCTCAACCTGTTCCACTACAGCCCCGTCGATGAGAATGGGGGCGTGCTCAGTCCTCTTTTTCCTGTAGTCCACAATCATCTCCTTTGTCTTGGTCACGATGAGGGAGAGGTTGTTATCCTGGCACCACACGGCCAAGTCTCTGACCTCCTCCCTATAGGCTGTCTCATCGTTGTCGGTGATCAGGCCTACCACTGTTGTGTCGTCGGCAAACTTAATGATGGTGTTGGAGTTGTGCCTGGCCATGCAGTCATGGGTGAACAGGGAGTACAGGAGGGGACTGAGCACGCACCCCTGAGGGCCCATGTGTTGAGGATCAGCGTGGCAGATGTGTTGTTACCTACCCTTACCATCTGGGAGTGGCCCGTCAGGAAGTTCAGGATCCAGTTGCAGAGGGAGGTGTTTAATCCCAGGATCCTTAGCTTAGTGATGAGCTTTGAGGGCACTATGGTGTTGAACGCTATCTGGGATAATGGTGTTGATGTGAGCCATGACCAGCCTTTCAAAGCACTTCATGGCGACAGACGTCAGTGCTATGGGTCGGTAGTCATTTAGGCAGGTTATCTTAGTGTCCTTAGGCACGGGGACTATGGTGGTCTGCTTGAAACATGTTGGTATTACAGACTCAGTCAGGGACATGTTGAAAATGTTGGTGAAGACACTTGCCAGTTGGTCAGCACATGCTCGGAGTACACGTCCTGGTAATCCGTCTGGCCCTGCGGCCTTGTGAATGTTGACCTGCTTAAAAGTCTTACTCACATCGGCTACGGAGAGCGTGATCACATAGTCATCCGGAACAGCTGGTGCTCTCATGCATGCTTCAGTGTTGCTTGCCTCGACGCGAGCATAGAAGTGGTTTAGCTCGTCTGGTAGGCTTGTGTCACTGGGCAGCTCGCGGCTGTGCTTCCCTTTGTAGTCTGTAATAGTTTTCAAGCCCTGCCACATCCGATGAGCGTCAGAGCCGGTGTAGTACGATTAAATCTTAGTCCTGTACTGACTCTTTGCCTGTTTGATGGTTCGTCGGAGGGCATAGCGGGATTTCTTATAAGCGTCCGGGTTAGAGTCCCGCTCCTTGAAAGCGGCAGCTCTACCCTTTAGCTCAGTGCGGATGTTGCCTGTAATCCATGGCTTCTGGTTGGGGTATGTACGTATGGTCACTGTGGGGACGACGTCATCGATGCACTTATTGATGAAGCCAGTGACTGATGTGGTGTACTCCTCAATGCTATCTGAAGAATCCCGGAACATGTTCCAGTCTCTGCTAGCAAAACAGTCCTGTAGCTTAGCATCTGCGTCATCTGACCACTTTTTTATTAACCGAGTCACTGGTGCTTCCTGCTTTAGTTTTTGCTTATAAGCAGGAATCAGGAGGATAGAGTTATGGTCAGATTTGCCAAATGGAGGGCGAGGGAGAGCTTTGTATGCGTCCCTGTGTGTGGAGTAAAGGTGGTCTAGAGTTAATTTTCCTCTGGTTGCACATTTAACATGCTGGTAGAAATTAGGTAGAACGGATTTAAGTTTCCCTGCATTAAAGTCCCCGATGAGCGTTTTCCTGTTTAGTTATGGCCTTATACAGCTCATTGAGTGCAATCTTAATGCCAGCATTGGTTTGTGGTGGTAAATAGACCGCTGTGAAAAATAAAGTTGAAAACTCTCTTGGTAAATAGTGTGGTCTACAGCTTATCATAAGGTACTCTACCCTCAGGCGAGCAAAACCTTGAGACTTCCTTTAGTATTTGATCTTCTGCACCAGCTGTTGTTTACAAATATACACAGACCGCCATCCCTTGTCTTACTGGAGTCAGCCGTTCTATCCTGCCGATGTAGCGTATAGCCCGCTAGCTGTATGTTGTCCATGTCGTCATTCAGCCACGACTCGGTGAAACATAAGATATTACAGTTTTTAATGTCCCGTTGATAGGATAAGCGTAATCGTAGGTCATCTAATTTATTTTCCAATGATTGAAGATTGGCTAATAGGATTGATGGAAGAGACAGTTTACTTGTTCGCCGTCGGATCCTTACAAGGCACCCTGACCTACGTCCACGATATCTCCGTCTCTTTCTCCTGCGAATGACGGGGATTTGGGCCTTGTCGGGTGTCTGTAGGATATCCTTCACGGCCACCTCGTTGAATAAAAAATCTTTCTCCAATACGAGGTGAGTAATCGCTGTCCTGATATCCAGAAGCTCTTTTTGGTTATAAGAGACGATGGCAGAAACATTATGTACAGAATAAATTACAAATAACGCGAAAAAACACACATAATAATACAATTGGTTAGAGGGCTGTAAAACGGCAGCCATCTTCTCCGGCGCCATCATATGTCATGGAGAGGAATAGTTCAGGGTCAATGGAAGAATCTCAATTGCCAACTCCTCACCTTCTTCTCAAAACCCATTGGAGGAGAAGGTCAGACCCCCTTACTTGAAGTTACTGTGGATGCAGAGCTGTGATGGAGTTTAAGGAATACAAATATGTATTTATATACTGAATAAAAATAAACCACTTTAACCATGCATTTCACTATACATTTCTCCAAGCCACTGTATATGATCAGCTTTTTAAGTAATAATCAAAGCCAGTCCATATTTAATTCCTCTACAGTGCTGGAAGCTGATAGTATTCATGAACATACATGACACATAGTAAGCCATATGTCATGCTTCTGATGGATAACTAAAGTGGGGAGAACAAGTATTTGATACACTGCCGATTTTGCAGGTTTTCCTACTTACAAAGCATGTAGAGGTCTGTATTTTTATCATAAGTACACTTCAACTGTGAGAGACGGAATCTAAAACAGAAAATCACCAGAAAATCAGAAAATCACGTATGATTTTTAAGTAATTAATTTGCATTTTATTGCATGACATAAGTATTTGATACATCAGAAAAGCAGAACTTAATATTTGGTATACAGAAACCTTTGTTTGCAATTACAGAGATCATACGTTTCCTGTAGGTCTTAACCAGGTTTGCACACACTGCAGCAGGGATTTTGGCCCACTCCTCCATACAGACCTTCTCCAGATCCTACAGGTTTCGTGGCTGTCGCTGGGCAATACGGACTTTCATCTCCTTCCAAATATTTTCTATTGGGTTCAGGTCTGGAGACTGGCTAGGCCACTCTAGGACCTTGAGATGCTTCTTACGGAGGCACTCCTTAGTTGCCCTGGCTGTGTGTTTTGGGTCGTTGCATGCTGGAAGACCCAGCCACGACCCATCTTCAATGCTCTTACTGAGGGAAGGAGGTTGTTGGCCAAGATCTCGCGATACATGGCCCCATCCATCCTCCCCTCAATACGGTGCAGTCATCCTGTCCCCTTTGCAGAAAAGCATCCCCAAAGAATGATGTTTCCACCTCCATGCTTCACGGTTAGGATGGTGTTCTTGGGGTTGTACTCATCCTTCTTCTTCCTCCAAACACGGCGAGTGGAGTTTAGACCAAAAAGCTATATTTCTGTCTCATCAGACCACATGACCTTCTCCCATTCCTCCTCTGGATAATCCAGATGGTCATTGGCAAACTTCAGACGGGCCTGGACATGCGCTGGCTTGAGCAGGGGGACCTTGCGTGCGCTGCAGGATTTTAATCCATGACGGCGTAGTGTGTTACTAATGGTTTTCTTTGAGACTGTGGTCCCAGCTCTCTTCAGGTCATTGACCAGGTCCTGCCGTGTAGTTCTGGGCTGATCCCTCACCTTCCTTATGATCATTGATGCCCCTCGAGGTGAGATCTTGCATGGAGCCCCAGACCGAGGGTGATTGACCGTCATCTTGAACTTCTTCCATTTTGTAATAATTGCGCCAACAGTTGTTGCCTTCTCACCAAGCTGCTTGCCTATTGTCCTGTAGCCCATCCCAGCCTTGTGCAGGTCTACAATTTTATCCCTGATGTCCTTACACAGCTCTCTGGTCTTGGCCATTGTGTAGAGGTTGGAGTCTGTTTGATTGAGTGTGTGGACAGGTGTCTTTTATACAGGTAACGAGTTCAAACAGGTGTAGTTAATAGAGGTAATGAGTGGAGAACAGGAGGGCTTCTTATAGAAAAACTAACAGGTCTGTGAGAGCCGGAATTCTTACTGGTTGGTAGGTGATCAAATACTTATGTCATGCAATAAAATGCAAATTAATTACTTAAAAATCATAATGTGATTTTTCTGGATTTTTGTTTTAGATTCTGTCTCTCGCAGTTGAAGTGTACCTATGATAAAAATTACAGACCTCTACATGCTTTGTAAGTAGGAAAACCTGCAAAATCGGCAGTGTATCAAATACTTGTTCTCCCCACTGTAACTGTGACCAGTAAAATCACAATGTAGGGAAATTCAACACATTTGCAAAACGCATGACATTGGTGCATTGCAGTTCAGTGGTTTGTGGAAAACATGCTACAACCATAGCAAGTCATGGGAATCACTTGTAATCACAGTGGCTGCAAACATACTCAAACATCAGACATCAGATGTGTGTATGGGCGCTCTGTGACTGACTGTTGTACTGTGTGTGCGCACGCGCCTGTCTTCGTACATGTGGGTGTGTCAACACAGGTTAGAGGTGGTGGTGGTGGTGGAGCCCAGCTGCAGCAGGGGCCAGGTGCCGTGGGTGATCGGCCTGTTCCCAGAGCCCCAGGACGAGGCAGCGAGCCTGGGGGACTGTAGACAGGAGAGCTCGGCCTCAGACTACCAGGCCCTGTACAGAGACATCTGGACGCTCCGGGCCTCTCTGGAGCAGTACGGCTCCTCAGACCAGATCAGCAACAACGACAGGGACTCCGTCCGCAGCGACGCCGACAGTGTCTGCTCCCTGGGGGGCCGGACCGAGAGGGGGGAGCTGCCCAGTAACCCCTCCCAGGACATCGGGGACGGGGATGAGCCCGAAGGGGACATGGAGCTGCCCTTGGATGAGGGGATAGGAGAGAAGGAGGAGGAGGAGGAGGAGGAGGAGGAGGAGAAAGGGGGGAATCAGGACAGTGTGGAGTCAGAGAGGGTCAGTGACGGGGAGTCAGGGAACCGTAAGCTCATGCAGATGGACAGTGGCTATACGTCTATAGAGGCTCCATCACGGGCGCCAGAGGAGCTGAGACTGTTTGGCAGTAGTGGCAGTATAGACAGGACGTCCCTGGAGAAGAGACACTACTTCACCAGTGCAGGGCGCACTGGCACAGTGGGCGAGAGCTTCGAGGCCCGCATCTTCGAGGAAGAGCCAGACGAGGAGATGCAAGCAGGGGCGACGGGCGGCATCGCCATAGAAACGGCCAGGTCTCCCCTGGGCTGGTCTCCGTATGGGCAGATGTTCACTCCACGAGAGGCGCAGCCGCACTCCCACCCACCCTCATCATTACACCGCCGCGACTACAGCATCGACAAGAAGACTGACGCGCTCTTCCATGAGTTCCTCCGACACGACCCCCAGTTCGACCAACAGGAGTCGCCGCGGAAACATCGTTCGCGCATCCACCTCCGCAAGCAGTGGCAGCGCAACAAGCAGTACAGCGACCCGGGCGTTCGCTACCAGTACCTCTCCTTTGAGAGGCAGCGGACCCCCCTGCGACGAGGCGATAGCGTCAACTACCCGCTGGACACGGGCTTCCACAGCACACTCCCACGCATTGTCAGTGCGCCTGACGAGGAGGCCAGCGAGGGGGCCCCCAGTACCCCCCAGACACCAAAGGCCGAGGCGGTGGTGGCGGGAAGGGGAGAGGTGGAGGAAGGAGACAGGAGGAGGGCGAGTCCCAGCAGTAGCTGTGGCAGCAGCACCGTGACCATCAGAGACCTGGAAGGGAGGGCATCCTGTTCCCCTGTCCCGGATAGAGAGGGCCTGCTAAGGGAGCAGCCCGACCCCCAGGAGGACACTAGGCAGGCGGTACACACCCCTGAGCACCCTGAAGAGCCCCCCCAGCCTCCTGACATGGGCCACGGCCGACAGACCATCACAGCCGAGCTGACGGACAAGCTGAGCGCCACTCTGGATGAGCGGCTGTACACGGGCCTGCGACGGACCAAGGACACGGCGGCGGTGACAGAGTGTGTGGTGACGGTCACTCACGCCTCCCCCGACCACAGCCCAGTGTAGCATGGCTCCAGTCCTCCTCCACTCCTCCCTGATCTTTGTGTTTAATTTGATTTCAGTCTACGCCGGGTAACTACAATTTCTCTGTTTCTGTCTGAATTAGCTGGTCCTAGACCTGTAACATGAAAACAGGCTACACTATACAGTATCATGTAGGCTATTTTAAGAATACACCCCTAGATAGTATCTACAGTACCATAGTGTCTCTTACTGCTGTGATTCCTTTCTCCTCTTAGAAAATAATGATGTTAAGAGCCAGTATCCCTCTGCACTAGTCTATCCACTGTGAAACCAGGCGCTATTAGATTTGAAGTCATCTCAAGATCTGGATACAAAGATTACCTGGGCACTATAGGCCAATCTTGGGTAAATATCAAAATAGGTTTATTTATGTTTTCCATTACGTTTTGATCATTTCATTCGTTATCTATGGATCTGGATATCTATTGTCTTTGGCCATTGAAATATATAAATCTTGCCATGTGGCATTTTGACTCTTGAAGAAGTAATCATAATTGTTTTACAAATTATTAGGAATCCCTGAGATGTTTTTGAAGCCAAATTTCACATTGCCCCCATATTATTTTGAACATGTTTCTCGGGACGTCTGAATAGTCATCCACTATTTCAGTAGAGTATTGTTCATTCACTGACACAATCCCTTAAATTGTAATCCTGTATGATCAAATGTTTTCTGACAGATAGCTGTTGAATTGTAATGTGATGTAATTTAATCAGAATCTATGGTACTAGGAACAGAAACCGAGCAGACCATGAATTTTCTTCTCATAAACACTCATTAAATGGATATGAAGATGCTGTCCTAATTTGGACACCAAATAAATTGCGGTATTAGGACCGCCTCGTCATATCCACACTGGATCAGAGAATATTCTTCATCAAGTGTCTTTGTTGCTGAATATCTGGCCTCATGTTTCTATAAAAAAATGTCTTACTACTTTCCAGAAAAGTGATAGTTGTTAGGACATGTTGTTCAATGCCTTTTGTATTTGTTGACAGATTTAATTTAAATGTGTCTATGCTTGTTTTATATTTCACTCTGGTTGTGACATTAATAAGTGACATATAGGAGGCCATGGTGAGAGCAGCTTAAATGACAGGTTTTTACCTAATATCTGTGCCAAAAATACCTTGTCAGCAAATGGAGGGATCTCAAGTATTACTGAACTAGGGGTTGGAACCAACATTATTTTTTCCAATCGTTTAGTTTTGAACAGAACCGCTTTTTTTCTCTTTCATTTCGTTCCACTGTCCCGACTAGCAAAATAAAGCTCTGAACAGTTTCGAACCCAAAACAAAGTACTGGTTTAGATCATTCCTTTTTTAACCTGTCAAATCATTTTTTTTTTAACATTTAGCTCATTAAATTACTTCACCAATCAGTTCAGATAGAGCAGGCAAGCTAGTTGTTTACATGCGTGATGAACAGACAAGGGTAGCCTATGGTGCAAGATGCGACTGACATTTTGTGGGTGGAGAGAGCGAGAGAGGGTTGAAGTGCTGGGCATCTTGTTATGACATGCATTGTCTGAATTAGGTCCACAGAATTATACCTAGGAGGAATGGCTTCTATGGAGGAACGTTGAAAGTCCTTTGAGCAAGCTAGCTAGCTAACAAGCTTGTGTGCAGAGCTGCACCAGAATTAAAAACACGTTTTAACTTTTTTGTAGTTAATAAATCCAACATAAAACATAACTAGGCATATAGTATCCTTAACTAGCATTGAAAAAGTAAATCCATTATTTTCTAGCTAATTAAAAAGCTCTCCCCGTCTTCTGAATCAAGCTTGTAACATCAGTACAGTAGCCTATGCTTCGGAGAGGGGAGGGGCAGGTAGCCTAAACACACACGCACAGGCAAAGATTTTCAGCTTGCAGGCAGACACTGGAATACGTTTGAGTGACAGAGTGAGGGTTTGCATAGGTGTTTTGTTGTGGGACTAGAAAAAAAATGCCTGGAATGTAAAGTAACGTTATTAATCGGTTCCAATGCTTTTAAAATAACGGTTCTGTTCTGGAACAGTATGGATCACTTTCATCCTGTTTCTGTTCCTTGAAAAATGTTGTTCCTTTTGTTCCAACCCCTGCTGACAACTCTGTTAGAATCACACATCAAAGGCAAGGCTCCCTTGGCCTCCCCCAACAGTGTTGGTTAGTGCTGGTCTATAACTGTAAAGGTTTAAATTAAGGCTTTGAATGGGGCCGATGTTGCCCTCGCAGACATTTGCAATTATTGAATTTATTTATAAGAAAGGCATGCTTTCTCGTGCATGGGTTTACCAAACAGGCTTTATTTGTTTGCTCACATTCTTCTCTTTCCCCTCCTTCTCCTGTGAAAGTTGATAACGCAGCAGCACATCCCTCTGGGCTATAAGGACTGCACTTCCTGTCTGTTACCAAACCAGAACTAAGTTGTTATTTGTAGCAAATTCCACATCTTCTCCTTTGAAATCCTCTGTGTGGACTTTGCAACCCAATGCTGTTCAAGTATAACCCCATTATCAGATTATGTCTTATGGGCCAAAAGATGGCAAGGAATGGCATGCCCATTCCAGAATTACCTTGGAAACTATTTTGCACTTAACTGTGTAGCGGCTGGGAGACTGCTTCTCCCACATCCCACAATCAGCAGAAGCAGCAGCAGCTCTCAGACCCGGTTCTTCTCCTACATTTCCAGTTTCCTCAGAGGGCTAGTTATTCCCCCACGTTTTGAGGAAACTGCTGCAGGAAGAGGTGTTGAATATTTGATCAAAAACAAAGGAGTCCCCCTCCCTTAGTAGTAGTCTACTCTGCCTGGTCTCTTGCTGAGGGTGTAACACAATGAAGATAGTGAAATTGCCGTAAATGGAAAAGAGGGAGATATTTCTAGCAGTCATTTCCCTCTTTTTGGGTGTGATCGTGCTACTTCACAGCCCCGGTGAATCAGATATATTTCCTCTAATAGGGACATCAGATAGCTCCTTGTTATAGCTGAGTGGACTGACAGGCAGAATGCATCTTCCCTCATTAGGGGAACAATGGCCAAGATGTAAGCTGGTGAGAGGGCTTGAATTGGTCTTCTAGCGTGGAGGCTAGTGATATCCTTCCTTTACATTTTTACATTTACGTCATTTAGCAGACGCTCTTATCCAGAGCGACTTACAAATTGGTGCATTCACCTTATAGCCAGTGGGATAACCACTTTACAATGTATTTTTTTGGGGGGTAGAAGGATTACTTTATCCTATCCCAGGTATTCCTTAAAGAGGTGGGGTTTCAAGTGTCTCTCACCTACTTCACATAGCCCACACATCAGACAGTGCACATGTCACCATGGGAAGGAAACCCAGGGGCTTCACATGTCTCAGCACCATTTTGTGTCATTACCAGGTGCCTTTTTCAGAAAGTCACCTTGGGAACAAACAAGATCAGATGCCTTTGAGGTTACTGGTTGCTCAGCATTCTCTGATTCTTGTCAGTAATGAGAAGAATAGTGCATCATTTCTGGACTTTAGTTGAATTGGTGGAAGCAAGGGGGTGATAACACCAACTTAATGACAAAGACTAGAGGCACAAATAAATTAGTACATTTGTACAAAGATGAACTTTGTTGTGTATACAAGCACAATGTTGCAGGAGCTAGAGTAGTCTGTATTTTATTAGGTGTAGACGTAACTGGGGACACTGTGGTGAAATACGTTTTGTACACTAACAAGTAGCCTGTCCAATGCATCGACGCATTACTGTGCATAGGTTTGCATGATAATTAACCGTTTTAGTACATATCTTCATGTTTTCTCAAACTACTGTACCAAATTAATGATTCCATGGTCGACACTGAGGCAGAACAGACATTTAAATCCACACTGGTACTTATAGGTTTTGCATTCTATGGAATCTACCTTTGTTTAGGAGTCATGCCATGCTAACTGATATTCTACAATTTAGAGATTTATTTCCATGAAAGAGAAAACTATACAATCTATTTCTGTATTCCTGCTTATAACTGCTACATTTCTCAAAGCACTAGTTAAAGTAGAGCTTTATAAATAACTTTGATTTGTTGACCCAGACCTATTTGAGCCTTGAGGGACCAAACAATTAAACCGTTATTTGGGTTTTTTCCAATAAGTAAATAAATGAAGCATTAATGGTTGTGGTGTGTCTCATTTTTACCTTTTAATGATACTCCAAAGCAAAAAGAGGGGGAAGAAGAGGAAGACAAGGGGACTGCAACTCTTTCCTCCTACCTCCCTCAGTTCTCTCTCTTCTCCATCCCCCTCCCGTGTGTTGTTCATTTCAGGTGTTGAGGGTCTGACAGTGTGTGGAACTGTTAATATACACCAGAGCCCATGCACATCAATTAATGACTCCACAGTGATTAGGATTCCCAATCGATAGAAAAGCGGAGGGAAAGTAGGGCAGCAGTCTCAGCCTCCATAAGAACCTCATCACCTAGCCTACATCAGCAAATATGACAGAATAAACAATGCCAGCATTCCATTAGATTCCACGATAGCTTTACTCTGATTCAAATGATTTGTCATTATTGCTATGATCAATAAAAAACGAATACAGTGTGGATTTATTTACCAACCTGCAGCAAAGCTATGACTTCTGTTCTCTTTTTCCCTTGGTTTTATAAAACATGCAGTGTTGGGGTAGGAGTAGCCTTTTGGGTCTGTGTGAACATCCCTCTCGGGGGTGCTCCAGTTCAGTACATGGTTTGACAGTCCAGATCAATCCAGTGGCCAGGCCAGCTCTACTAAAACAAGCCCGTCACAGCAGGAGCCACATATCATCTTATCGAAGTAGGCCGGAGCAATCTGCAGTAATGTTCTAGTGCCAGAGGATCCTGCAGGTACAGCAGCACACTAGCGAAAGCAAATACAGATGTTCCTTAAAGATGCACCATGCAGAAATCGTTTTGCCATTTCCTGGTTGCAAATATTTTACTAGTTCACCTAATTTTAGATATGTGACAAAACAAGCAAGTATAGTGTAGAGAATCAATCATTGTACCAAATATTGTGTTTTCCGCTGTTTGAAGCTGGTGTACAAAACAGAAAGTAAAAGACCCAAAAACAAAACTTAACAGGACGCATAGGAATAGCGCACATAGAATAGATCTACCGCTTCTTAGACTTGCTTTCAATGAGAATGACAGATCTAGAACACATTTCTATGTGAATTTAGTCAGGTCGCCCAAGAAGTTACATATTGCAGCTTTAAAGAATCGGAACAAGTGAAAAACGGACCAGTTAGTGACGGAACTGCTTTATCTCAGTGAAATGTCAAAGTTTATATTCTGGTCCATCAGCTGCCTCGCTCTCCGAACCTAGCAACTGAGCCTGGGGATGAGTCGGTTCTAAAGTTTCAAACGGCCTATTGTTAGATTGACAAGATACATTTATTTATAATACAGCCACAAATAAAGAGAAATCACAGAACAAACACAGCGGGTGATGTTGGGGTGCATTTTATATAAATAATCATTAAAAACATTGTGGGGACTAAAACGCCAAAACAAAACCAAAGACGCAAAACAAATCTAAAACCAAGCCAAGACATTCTTGAATAGTTATGTATACTTGGCTTGTCTATAGTTCCCTTTCCTTTAGCCTGCATATCATGCCGTTTAATGCATTTTTTTATTAAATGATCATAATTATTCCCATTTACAAATATTGTTGTTTATTGAAATGATCCATGTCATTCAATACACATCACAATGTGCGCTTTAATACGGTTTAACTGTAGGATAAACAGTGTAGTAGTCTAAAACGAGCTACATTAATACAGTGAGGGGTGGGAGTCTCAGTATGATTTGCAGAAGGGGGGGGGGGGTAAGGTCCTAGCCTCTTCTCCATTTTTCTCTGGTGCTTCACTCTTACATCATCACGTTGTCATTCATCAGACAGACTAGAACTAGTGAAATAAACCACTGTAGTGCATCATGTCCTGTTATTGCATCCTGCAGACTAGGCTGTCAAAACATTCATCTCCCCAACGTCAGGGAGACGGAAAATAGAGAACACAAACCTGAGGGAATCAAAACAGACAATTAGCTACAATCATTTACAGTATTACTCAATTGAGGGGTGCTGATAACTCATTAACATTTGCACAATACAGTTAGAGATGACTGAAACATGGTATTAGTATTACAATCTAAAAGAACAATGGAACCAAGGTTTCATGGATAGTATCCCGCATCTGTATCGCTTCTCCACTCAGTTGGTGCTGTAAGCATCTCTGTGGCCATTCACAGTGAGTGGGAGACCACCTGCCCACACACACACACAGAGCCAGCCAGTGTGACACCCAGTGACAGATGTAGAGGAGTTCCCTCTGTGAACCAACCAGGCAGCAGGCTGTTCCTGCTGGACTCTCTGTTAGACAGCAGGTTCCAGAATGCAGCCAGTACCTAGAATGGCCCGACTTTCACCAAACACAATATCCTGTCCAGTCCATTAGGCCCAGTCTCAGCCGGGCTGTGAGTCATTCACTGTATAAACTAATATAGATTGGATAGTGTCACCTTCTCCACCCTCCTCTTTATTGTGAAAAGGCAGCTCAGTTTTCTTGGATGTCTCTGGGAAGATGCTTCAGAGGAGTGCGATCCCCCTCTCCCCTTCCACCCACACACACTCCCCCCTAAGGCTCTTTCCTGATTGCCTCTTAAGAGTGGAGCAGGGTCCAGACATTGGCAGAATGCGTGGGAGATGCCTGCCCACCCATGAGTCAGAAAGGATGCCGCTCGGCTCACTGCTGCTATTAGACGGCTAATCCATTTCTCACGGATTTGCTGTGGTCCCAGATCCATCCATGTGACTGACAGCAACAACCAATAGGTTGCAAATGATGTCATCTTCTAACACAATTTCATACAGTACTGTAGATGTGGCATTTCAAATATGCCAATAAACTCATTTCTCAGGGGTACTATATTTTATATAGTTCTTTAACAAATATGTTGAAAAATGCGTTGCATATAGCACGATCACAATTCTGTAAATTGTGATAAACGTTGCAAAAAACATGTTTGTTAGGAAGGGATATCCTTCAAATTAGCATCAGAATCCCTAATGGCTCATGAGATGGTGTGACGGTTTTGTGTTCAAACGCGATGCATTTGTATGAACCTGTTAACCAGGCAGGAGTAGAGCAGTACATGATAGGATCCTTCATTTTTCCTTCAGAAAGAGGAATGTGAGGCAGGGGGAGCTTGTTAAAGAGTCAGAGCCTGTACTCAGCAATGACTCATATGGAGAGAAAGGAGAGAGAGAGAGGAAGAAAGAGGGGAACCCACATGAATGAGCAGGTGCCACAGGGGGAACACGGAGAGAGGGAGAAAGAGAAAACATTAAAAGGGTAGAGACAGAGAGGGGGGAGGGGGGGAAGGGGGCGAGAGAGGAGAGAAGCCTAGAAAGCAGATTATGCTGCATCTCCCTCCCACGCAGTCCGCCCACACATTCCTCCTCTCCATCCATACAGAGGAGAGCATCAGCGTCAGTCAGGGCTCTTCCAGCCCCCCACCTCGTCCCTAGCACCATACGTGGCGTCATCCAGCCCCATCCTGCCTCTCCACTAACCCAGCCTTCCTCCCCTCTCCTCTCCCTCCCTGGAGACACCACTCTACTGTTCGGCTCCATAATTACACTCAGACTCTTCAGGCCTGTGTTTTTTTTTTACCTTGAGAGCAGCTTGAAAGACAATCAAGGCACACATGCGTAATTACACCAGGCAGACTTGTAGCCAGAATCCTATTTCCATTTGCATTTTTGTATACAGTACATTAAATTAGCTGTAGGTTTCAGGAGGGGATCAAGGGATTATGTCATCTCAGTCAAATTGATAAAACGTCATCTTACTTGGATGAAGTAGCATTATCATCTGAAGGTCACAGGGATGCCACAAGGTCTAAACTACACCATAATGTACAGCTGTTGAACACTCCCCCAATGCCTCCTCCTCCTCCTCCTCCTCCTCCTCACCTGTCCAGTGTGTGTGTTCAGGGCGGGGCGTCCGGGGGCTGCTCTCACTGCTGCTTGCAGTTGGACAGCTTGCGGATGCGGCTGTAGGCGGACACGCCTTTGCGTGAGGGGTTGGAAGAGGAGGAGGAGGAGAGGCGCTCTGATCGGGACCTGGTCCTGCTGGTGGTTGGGTAGTGGTCCTGGTCCGTTTCTGTGTCTGTACCGTTCACACATAGGGTCCTGAGCCCCAGCCCCTGCCCCACACAACCCCCCTGGTCATCCTCATGCACCCGACCTGGGGAGAGGACACAGAGAGACAAGGGTTAGAGGTTGGAGGTCAATGGTCTGAGCTGACTCACCAGAGAAACATACGCTGTCAGCCATCAGGTTAGACTCCTGGTAAAAGTCAGTTTTATGCACAGATCTAGGATCAGCTTACCCCCCCACCCCCAAAACCATTAGGGGGAAATAAAAAAAATGCCCTTAAATCATTGTCAAATAAGTATCTAGAAGGAAGTTTTTCCTCCACACACTGTTAGTAACATGTCAGGGCGACCCGAGACAATGGTGGAGGTGAACATTGAGCAGCCTTGAAGAATAGTTTGTAGACAGGCAGAAACTGTTGGGAAACCTTTACTAAATGTAAGCATATTTTTACCGTGTTCTTCAGTGGTTTGCATTTTTACAAGAGACTGGTGATGATAGGCAGTTTTGACTGTTCAGGATCGCTCCCAAGATAATTTTATTAGCAAATGTAGCATAGAAATAAAATGCTGCATTCACAAACATTGACAAGAACAGCACATTCGCACATGTCCCTGGAAATATAAATGTCTCACCTAAAGAGAATCCATTTATAATTAATTCCAAAGTGTTTCATGCCATTTCTTCAAATGTGTGAAACTCAGCACAACCCAAAACAGCCTGCTTTATTTACAGCTGTTGTAGTTCTTCTAAAGTTGCAAAAGTCTTGCTAAACTAAGAAGGTGAGGTGGGCTTTAGCCAAAGAAGTGACTGAGCACATTAGGGGCCGCTTGCCAAATCAAATCCTCCAGGAGCAAACAGTATTCCCACCAGTACAGCTACATCTAGGCCTAGTTTCCAGTTTTGTTTTCCTGTTTCCAGGAAATGTAGCATTAGGGCTGTTGGGGTGACAGTATTACCGCCACAACGGCAGTCATGAGTCATGACCGCAGTCAAATTCCACGTGACTCAATCATCTTTTCTTATGCACTCTGGACATGCGTTGGTAGTAGGCCTACCCAACTCACTAATGAACATCAGGTCACTAATGGCCTGGTACTCAGTGCTTTATTGTCCCTCTAACCACTCTGATATCTATGCAAATGATATCAAAAAAATCAAACACTTATCATCAAAACAGTATCATGCTTTTAAAACTCACCAGTAGGCTACATTTTATTACATCTGTGATGACCAATTTGAATAAAGAAGTTCAACAACAGGTTGAAACTGAGTGGAAAACATGGTTGTTGTGGATGTTGTTTCAAAGCCAAACACAATGAAATGGACAGTGCTTTCTAAGGTGATGATTCATTCAAAAGCATTTTAGATGTTGCATGTAGAACACCCATGAAAGAAAAAACGAAAGAAAATAATGATTGCGCTGTTATACAATACATAACCTACCACATATTACGCAGTGGTGGTCAGCGCCGTTTAAGATGAGGGAGGACAAATGTTTTTATGAGCATGGCCTTATTTCTATTACAGCATATTGGATGACTCTCATTCATATTCCATTCACCCAGTTCAATGTAACAGCGATAGGTTTAGGCTACTACATGATACTCTAATTTTCCCTATACCCATCATGAGGTTGCTACAACCTAGCCTATGAATGAAAGTTTACAGCGTAGGTGCACCCAGGTCAAGAGACAAATTTGAGGTGACGACAGTGACGCATATCAATATTTAAATGGAGGAAGTTTGGAACCACCAAGACTCTTCCTAGAGCTGGCCACCCGGCTCATGTGCCTTTTACTGAGGAGTGGCTTCCGTCTGGCCACTCTACCATAAAGGCCTAATTGGTGGAGTGCTGCAGAGATGGTTGTCCTTCTGGAAAGTTCTCCCATCTCCACAGAGGAACTCTTGAGCTCTGTCAGAGTGACCATCGGGTTCTTGGTCACCTCCCTGACCAAGGCCCTTCTCCCCCGATTGCTCAGTTTGGCCAGGCGGCCAGCTCTAGGAAGAGTCTTGGTGGTTCCAAACTTCTTCCATTTAAGAATGATGGAGGCCACTGTGTTCTTAGGGACCTTAAATGCTGCAGAAATTTTTCGCTACCCTTCCTCAATCAATTGAATTTACCACATGTGGACTCCAATCAAGTTGTAGAAACATCTCAAGAATGATCAATGGAAACAGGATGCACCTGAGCTCAATTTCGAGTCTCATAGCAAAGGGTCTGAATACTTATGTAAATAAGATATGTTTTTTATTTTATTTTTAATACATTGGCAAAAATTTTTCAAAAAACCTGTTTTCGCTTTGTCATTATGGGGTATAGTGTGTAGATTGATACAATTATATTTAACGTAACAAAATATGGAAAAGGTAAAGGGGTCTGAATACTCTCCAAGTTCACTGCATATATATTTACAAATAATATATGGGGGATTGGAAATGATGCAGACAATTACGTTGATGGAAGCTACAATCTGCAATACTAAAGCTGATCTACCCCCTAAAAAAAAATTAAGATCTGTCCTCGGTTGCAACACTCACTACAGAGTTCCAAACTGCCTCTGGAAGCAACATCAGCATAACTGTTCGTCGGGAGCTTCAATAAATGGGTTTCCATGGCCGAGCAGCCACACACAAGCCTAAGATCACCATGCGCAAAGCCAAGCGTCGGCTAGAGTGGTGTAAAGCTCACCGCCATTGGACTCTGGAGCAGTGGAAACACATTCTCTGGAGTGATGAACCATTCTTTACCATCTGGCAGTCTGACGGACTAATCTGGGTTTGGCAGATGCCAGAAGAACGCTACCTGCCCCAATGCATAGTGCTAACTGTAAAGTTTGGTGGAGGAGGAATAATGGTCTGGGGCTGTTTTTCATGGTTCGGGCTAGGCCCCTTAGTTCCAGTGAAGGCAAATCTTAACGCTACAGCATTCAATGACATTCTAGACGATTCTGTGCTTCCAACTTTGTGGCAACAGTTTGGGGAAGGCCCTTTCCTGTTTCAGCATGACAATGCCCCCATGCACAAAGCGAGGTCCATACAGAAATGGTTTGTCGAGATCAGTGTGGAAGAACTTGACTGGCATGCACAGAGCCCTGACCTCAACCCCACTGAACACCTTTGGGATGAATTGGAACGCCGACTGCGAGCCAGGCCTAATCGCCCAACATCAGTGCCCGACCTCACTAACGCTCTTGTGGCTGAATGGAAGAAAATCCCCGCAGCAATGTTCCAACATCTAGTGGAAAGCCTTCCCAGAAGAGTGGAGGCTGTTATAGCACCAAGGGGGGACCAACTCCATAATAATGCCCATGATTTTGGAATGAGATCTTCGATAATCAGGTGTCCACATACTGTTGGTCACTGTGACGGGAACAAAAGCAGAGCCAAACAGTTGGAGTCTGGGGTGGTGGTGGGCTAGCAGAAAACAGACAATGCATAGCGAGTAGTAGCAGTAATTACAGCAACAGCAATAAACAGCAAAGAAAGAGAAGCGCATAGCTTAGCACAGCAGCAATGCAGCAGCAGAGGATGTTTGTGCAGAACTGGTCAACTTAAATAGACCGCCATAAGGTAGGAAATGTTGGAATCAGATTGGTGCAATCTCAGCTGATGCAAACACTCAAGTTTCTTGTCTGAACTGGTTTCGCTTCATTATAGAGAGCAGAACATGACATCTAGCAGTGATCTGTTACTTGAGGAACCAAGATTACAAAGTGTGCAACAGGTTAGTAAAACAGGCAAGCTGAAAAAGGAAAAGAAAACTAAATTTTCTCAAACCAAATGACTTGACATTAATAATCATGAATCATGACCTTTTATGAATGGGGCGATGAAGTCGCCCTGATTTATGCACACAGGTTCACCAGGCACAAAATGACTAAAACCCCGGTCATAACAACAATCATCACCATAATTAACCACAATTGACATCTGCACATTATTAGACTTGTTCAATCAGAAATCCAAGTGCTTCCGGCACTCTCAGCAAATGAACACCAGCAAAATGAAATCTGTCTGGGCCCTCGCTCTCCCTCTAAACCCCCTGTGAAGCTGTCGACACCGGGCTTACTGATTAGCCTGGGCCATAAATATGTAATCACAGGCAGCACAGCGACACTCGGCTCGCCTTCATCAACCTCCCACTCACAGCACCTCTTTCCTCCCCTTTACTCCCCCGACTCCAACAATGGCTAACCTGTGAAGACCTGTGCCTGTCACCCTCTCTGATAACAGCAAAGGTGACAAATGAACAGGTAGAATCCCAGTGTCAGAGCAGAGAGAGAGGGAGGAAAGGAGGGAGAGGCGGAGGAGGGGGGGGGGGGGGGGGGATATACAGTGCAAGTGACTTAACGAACTGCAGCAGGATGACTCATCTAGTTGCCATGGCAACTTAAACACTCGCTACCCTCTAATCGGCTATTTCGAACTGCTGCTCGTGGAGCCTGCGAAGGGGGGGGGGATTTTTATGTTTCCGGAAATCACTGAAATACGTGGTGGTGGTGGTGTTGTGTGTGTGGGCACAAAATGAGCACAAGGCTGACGCCAGGGTCACAAACCAGAACGTTTGACGTCAAATACACCCCAGGCCATACGTACACCTCCCTCTCTTTCTCACCTCTCTAATGCAGTCAAGCTATGCTCCCTCTATAGTGGGTTGCATTGTTGCACAGTATGAGTGGGTGCTGCTGGGGTGGTTTCTATGCCCTTAATGGAGCAGCGACCATGTACTGCGCCTCCCTACACACATACAAACCCCTTAGGAGTTCTTATAAATCACATAAGAAAGCTTCAACCTTAAGAGGAATGAATATATATGAGAGAGAGAGGATGCAGAAGAACACGGGACTATGTGGTGTGCAGTATAGGAGGCTCAGACTGGGGAGGAGGTGGGCTGGAAAATAACAGACTACTACTATGTGACAAATAAAAATATGCACATTTCTATCACACTTCTACATACTAACACTGTTGTTCACCTTTCTTACAAATCAGTCTCCGAACAGGCAAAGCCCTAAAAAGCCACGCTAGTACAAATTGTGCGATTCCTGTTATTTTAAAGCCCTATTCTCCAGCATGGCACAGAGAGCAAACACAGACTCTGATCACGGTGAGGGAATATTAAAGGGTAGTAGAGCCCGACTGATATGTTTTTCTTTGTGTCTGATACCAATTTTGGGGGGGACAAAACTTACTGATATCGATATATGCCAATCTACTGTTTAAATTGACTTAACCGCTTAAATGTAAGGGCAAAATGTTGATTTCCGCCTAAATAGACATACCCAAAAGTAACTGCTATTCACGTGTAATTACATGATTCTGACATTCCAAAACGTGGTATATTTGGAAAGAAGACATCTGGGAGATTATGAGGAAATTATCATTAGATAGATAGGCGTTACATAGTTCAGAATTCACAAGATCAAGCACACATAAAATAACCGTTTTTTCTTTTTCTTTGACAAGTTATAAGTGAATTATTGATTCCAAGAGCTGGAAACACATCAGATGGCTTCCACAACATGTAAACAATATCAGAACAAAAATGGAATTGATAGACCTAACAACTACAAATGGGCAGATGTTTTAGTAAGTGTCGTCAGGTGTGGTCACGGGACGTTTCCAGGTGTCCCTAAACCTCTCCAAAGTGGCATATGTCTGTAAATTAGATCATTCCAGTGCTATTACATATTTGCAATCCCTAAATGCTATTTGTTCAGTATAAAAACATAATTTATACCATATCAACCTCACTCAAACATTGTGGTGGTGTTATGGGGTATCCAGGGTACATTCAAGTGTTCTTTCAACCTCTCCAAAGTGTCCGAATGTGGTAACTGCACTGTTTTTGCACACTGGATGTGCCTAAAAGTTATTGTTTTTTCAACCTCTCCAAAGTGCCTGAACGTTTAGCCTAGGCATATCCAATGTATTGGTCCCACATACAAATGAACTGTTTACAAAAACAATATAAAAAGCAACAGATACATAAAAGATATTTAAAAATGTCTTATCAAACACCAACTTGGTTACACACGTGTCCTTCACTAAAAAAGGTGCAAAAATAGAAATAAGCTGAACTATTTACAAATGCCATTTATGTTCGTTTTACATCCCAGGTGTAGATGATTAGATTTCACTTTCACAGTAGCTTGTGCATGTTCTGATAGTCTTTGAAGCAGTCCCTCTCTGCCAGGAAACAAAAAGCGAACTGGCATTTCCCCCTTTTTTCCCCCAGTTCTATCTTTTGTCTTCTGGCATGTGTGTTGGATAGTGGCGCTCACCTTGAGTGGGGGGGTCTTGTGATGGTTGTGAGGTTACTTTGGGGCCCCAATTCAGCCATTTCTAACACCAGCTGCTCTCGGAAGGCCAACTGGAGGAGAGGGGTTTGACCTTTTTGCTTTGGCCATCTGCTTGTGGAGAATTAAAGCATTTACTGTAGCAATGTCCACAAAGTGGTTAAAAAAAAAAGTCTTATACCACTTCCTGGTCTTGTGGAGGACCTGGTAGTAGCCTATCAGAGCTTCAGATAGGTCGACACCCCCCATGCTGGCATTGTAGTCCTTCACAGAAACAGGAATGGGGACATTCTTCTTTTTTCACCCTCCTTGAGACATGGTTGTTATTGAATGCCTTAAGCTGTGTGGTGAGCATGGTTACTTCCCTAGTGTCCTTCCATTTCACAAAAAGCAGCTTGTTAGTCCTGATCCAACGTATGGTCCCCCTCTCCGCTGTCTTTGTCATGTCGTTTACCTTGGTCTCGGAAACCGATTCTGTTAGGACGAATGGTGCCACAAGCCCCTATGTTCTTTTTCAAGAGGTCTATGAAAAGTGGACGTAGAACCATCAGACGGAGTGATTGACATTGCAGTGGGGGGTGAAGACCTTGACCGGCGGGGGTCATTTAGCAGACGCTCTTATCCAGAGCGACTTACAGTTAGTGAGTGCATACATTTTCATACAGTTGTAAGACACAGAATTACAGTTGACTAAACTTACAAAACGATCACTGTAAAGTAAAAAACACCAAGCCTAAACTTTATCTGTACAGTGACTCACATAGAAGGTGCAAACAGTAACACTTTGGAGACAAAGGCGAGAACCACAAATAAACAATGGCCATGAGAGTTTAGTGGCCTCTCCAAAGTAACAAGGATGAAACTTAGAACAGCAAACAGTGAACTAATATGAAACATAGACAATAACTACTTTGGAATTATATAACATTGAAATTACTTACATTTACACTTTACATTTCATTTTGTTACATTTACATTACATTTTAGTCATTTAGCAGACGCTCTTATCCAGAGCAACTTACAGTTAGTGAATACATATATATATATATATTTTTTTTTTCATACTGGTCCCCCGTGGGAATCGAACCCACAACCCTGGCGTTGCAAACGCCATGCTCTATCAACTGAGCTACATCCCTGCCGGCCATTCCCTCCCCTACCCTGGACAACGCTATGCCAATTGTGCGCTGCCCATGAGTCTCCCGGTCGCGGCCGGCTGCGACAGAGCCTGGATTCGAACCAGGATCTCTAGTGGCACAGCTAGCACTGCGATGCAGTGCCTTAGACCACTGCGCCACTCAGGAGACATTGGCCTATGTCAACTAAATCCACAGCACAAAAATCAGACAACTTATAAAACACGAAATACATATAGTAAATTAGCTATGTAAAAGTAATGAAAATAATTTACTTACAGATCTAAAAGTAGATCCAATCTTTCTAGAAAGCAATCTTCGTCAGCCGAGTCTAAATACTCGTTGTCCAAATCGCTCCCCTGATCCGAGTCCGACCAGTATTTTATTCAAAGCTTCTATGTCGGTATACTTATTCATAGCTGCCTTCTTTTTAGCTTCCTGTTCGATATTCTTAGTTTTCACACCCTTTGAGAAGCCATCTTTTATGCTAAAGCAAGGAAATTAAAGCTATGAAATCTGTTTACAATGTAATGTAATGTAGTATGCCTCATCTCTGAGCCAGGTAGCAATTGTTCGCATTACGCATAAAAGGTTATAGGACTTGCTTTGTCCCACCCAGGTCAACTGCATATCCCTGAAAAGCTTATCTCATTGGCTACAAGACTGTCAAGGTGCCATAGTAGCCAATCCCCTGTGTAATGGATGCCTTCAGAGCGTAAGCAGGCGACATCATATTTTTGATGCGCAAAGATAGTCACTCGGTGGATATTCGATGTTGCCATTCAGTCATACATCATCAGATAACATTAGCAATATGCTAGATTTGTTACTACCAACCTAATGATTCATTTTATACCCCCAATGTAGCTATAGCTCAAACAGACCAAATCGAAGCTTACCTTGTAAGATGTTTGCTGTTTGGTGAAAACGTTGTGTAAAATAAACATTTTGACTCTGAGCTGGTATTCAATAACGGTAGGTCACAGATAGACAAATAAGACATCCTCATGATCTGTGGAGTCCCGGCTTTCGGTGTGTATAGACGTATTCCGTGTTTATGCTACACAACGCTAACCGGAATGTAGGTAGCAGCCAACTTGAAATTAGGTAATCGGCTGGCCTGTCCTTATACATTCGTATGCCCATATATGGTAGTAAGTCACACCAAAGATTTTAAGGCACGGGTAAATAGCCAAGATACTCAGCTTTTCGCAGACACCCTGCTTTTGCAGATAGGGGATACCGTTCTCATACCAGACTGAATTGAATTAAACAAATCTAATAGGGTCCCCATACATTTAAGAGGTTAACTTTAAATTGGCAACACACAATGCACAAGAAGCCACTGCAGACAAATTACTTAATAAAAGACTGCCAGGAAATAGTGAATTGAAGGAAAAAAGAAAAGACTGATGGATAGTCTCTCTGCATGTTGTCCTCATGTAATTGGGTCTGGACCGATTGGAAGCATCATCACAGTTCAAACAAGCCCATAAAACTCTATTGTGGAAAGATGCATAATGTAATCTCCTTCAAAGCCAATATAATAAAAGGCTAATGAAAACAATTTCCATCACTTCTTATCTCTAATAAAGAAGACAGAATGACTAGGAATGACTGAATTAGTGTTTTGAACTTCACAGAGGTTATAAGAGAGGAGGCAGTTTGGGCAATCTTCTATATTATGACTCAGGTAGGCTAATCACTGCAGTCAATAGGAAAAAGTAAAACATTAACCCAAAACCAACCCATACTAGAATGAGTCATTAAAAACAGGCAAGTAGCTGTGTGGTCTTATCATGGCATCTATCAAATGTACTGCTATCAGAGAACAAATCAGAAGATTACAGGGACACAGGAAAAATCTGATTTCAGATTGTATGGCATCTAGGAATCTAATCTAATCTTCACTGTTTCCATCTTATCTTTTGATATAAAATGCCTGATGGGCTTTTTGTATTAATTCAATACGGGATCCCTGTCGCTTTGAGGCTGTGAAACACATAGGTGGCTATAGCCTTGAAATACATAGTGTGTAATGTATCCTACATCACACCCGGTGCCTAGGGCTTTAACAGTGGGCCAAGAATGACTATACTGTGTCTGTAACCAGAGCCATGACACCAACAGCATGCAGTAATTAGCACAGTAATTAGCAGAGGCAGGCGAGAACATATTGAGCGCTTCTAGCACCTTATGTTACAAAATGAGTAAGATACAGCCAATACAAGTCTACCTTCAGGCATTAGCTACTACTATACTACATAACTATGACATCAAACTATGTTAGAATGTGAGAAATGACCAATGCTAAACCAATGTCCTCAAATGCAAAACATAACAAATACATCAATACTTTATACAAATGTGAAATTCCAGACAAACACATCATAGCACCTGTATTACAGTACGTTACGGAGAGAGAAAGAAATGAGTTCTACCATGGAAAGTAGAAATGAACCCAATGACCAAGTCCATGGACATTCTCTGAGCCTGAGGTACTCAACTTAATCTGCTCCCTCCTCCTCCAGACTACTCTCAGCTCTGACCTTGTCCAATCACTAATCTCAGCCTGGGCAAAGTGACGCACTGGTCCATAGTAGCAGCCAGCCCACAGACTCACTGGGCTGATGCAATCACAGATAGACAGACTGACTGATCAGATCTTCTGGAGAGATGGACACACACACACACACACACACACACACACACACACACGTGTGCACTCACACAACACACGCACCCACAGGAGGGTAGCTCTCCAGGAACAGGGTTGTTGAGTCCTGATCTAATTAAATAATGGCGCAAGAGGGGATGGCCACCGTTTTACGGGCTCCTGACCAATTGTGTTATTTTGTGTGGTTTTCTTACGCTGATCCCCCCCCAAAAAAGCCCATTGTTTCATATGACCAAAAAGTGCATCTGGACATCAAAACAGCGATTACTAACCTCGATTTGTGCTATAGAGGTCGGCGTGCGGGATATCTAAGGAGACTGCGATGGTGAGTAGATAAGTTGTCATTACCCTCCTTTCTATTGGCGAACGTGCAATCATTGGAAAATAAACTGGATGAGCTCTGTTCGAGACTATCCTATCAACGTGATCTGAAGAACTGTAATATCCTATGTTTCAGAGTCGTGGCTGAACAAGGACATGGGAACATACAGTGGGGAAAAAAAGTATTTAGTCAGCCACCAATTGTGCAAGTTCTCCCACTTAAAAAGATGAGAGAGGCCTGTAATTTTCATCATAGGTACACGTCAACTATGACAGACAAAATTAGAAGAAAAAAAAATCCTGAAAATTACATTGTAGGATTTTTAATGAATTTATTTGCAAATTATGGTGGAAAATAAGTATTTGGTCAATAACAAAAGTTTCTCAATACTTTGTTATATACCCTTTGTTGGCAATGACACAGGTCAAACGTTTTCTGTAAGTCTTCACAAGGTTTTCACACACTGTTGCTGGTATTTTGGCCCATTCCTCCATGCAGATCTCTTCTAGAGCAGTGATGTTTTGGGGCTGTCGCTGGGCAACACGGACTTTCAACTCCCTCCAAAGATTTTCTATGGGGTTGAGATCTGGAGACTGGCTAGGCCACTCCAGGACCTTGAAATGCTTCTTACGAAGCCACTCCTTCGTTGCCCGGGCGGTGTGTTTGGGATCATTGTCATGCTGAAAGACCCAGCCACGTTTCATCTTCAATGCCCTTGCTGATGGAAGGAGGTTTTCACTCAAAATCTCATGATACATGGCCCCATTCATTCTTTCCTTTACACGGATCAGTCGTCCTGGTCCCTTAGCAGAAAAACAGCCCCAAAGCATGATGTTTCCACCCCCATGCTTCACAGTAGGTATGGTGTTCTTTGGATGCAACTCAGCATTCTTTGTCCTCCAAACACGACGAGTTGAGTTTTTACCAAAAAGTTCTATTTTGGTTTCATCTGACCATATGACATTCTCCCAATCCTCTTCTGGATCATTCAAATGCACTCTAGCAAACTTCAGACGGGCCTGGACATGTACTGGCTTAAACAGGGGGACACGTCTGGCACTGCAGGATTTGAGTCCCTGGCGGCGTAGTGTGTTACTGATGGTAGGCTTTGTTACTTTGGTCCCAGCTCCAGTGGCGGCTCCTGAAAAAATTCTCAGGGGGGGCAATTTTTCTGATGATTTAGGTGACCTACACACATTTAAAAAAAGATATGTCCAGCAACAACATGAAGACAGGGGCAGCATATAAGTCAATGCCAGAAGCATTTATTGACTGATCTCAAAAGTGTTGGCTTACAAAAGCAAAATAAGTTATCACAGTAAAAATAATCAAGGGTGTTCTTTCACATTCCTCAACACTGCATAAACAATATGCATTTCCATAAACAAATGAAATATCAGCTGAAAATACAGCATCTTGGTATTTGTTCAGATTGCAGGATCAACAAGAGCTTTTACCACATTTTTTGCCTCATGGTTGAATTGGAAATATGTGCACCTGAGCATAATTCACAACAAGCTAGCAGGAGCTTTTGATAGAGGCTACTGAAAACATTGATGCAAGTTATTGGTAATAAGAAATTTTTATAGACTTCCATATTCTGCCCTCTTGTATAGATTTGTGAAAATGAACAGTGAGACATTTTGCCTGAAAACAGAATTTGAAAATAATTTCTAGAAAAGGTAAACACAGCTATCTGTATGGCTTTGTAAAAATGAACAACCATATTCTGGCCAATTGTATAGATTTGTAAATATGAACAACCATATTCTGGCCAATTGTATAGATTTGTAAAAATGAACATTAACAGATTATTATTATTTTTTTACTTTTTTTTAAATGAAAAATAACTATTTTAAACAACATCAACTGTGAACTGATTTGGGCGTGTGTGTGTTAAAGAGACAGACAGGGAGGGACAAAGAGAGAGAGAGGCTACATTACTTGTACTGAAACTGTTCTCTTCTCTCTTTCAATGCAGCAAAGCGGTCAATGACTTTCTCATTGAAATCAGGCATGCTGAGGATTTAGTTCACTCTCCATGGAAAGCATGGCCAGTGCATTCAGACGTTCCTGGCCCATTGAATTTCGCAGGAATGTCTTAACTCGTGTCAAAGTTGAGAAACATCTCTCAGCTTCAGCTGTTGTCATGGGAGTAGTTATGAGGATGTTCAACAGAGTCACAGTCTCAGAGAATGTCTCCTGGAGGTTGTAGCTCATGAGAACCTGGTACAGTGCCAGTGCACCACAGTTTGACTTTCTCGTCGTCGGCAAAAAGACTGTTCAGTCTCTCCAAAAGCACACTGGCGATTGAGACTGAGGTTGATTCCGAGATGGGAAGGAACTCAAAAAAGCGCTCCTGCACTTTGTGGTTGCTATCTATGTACCTCAGCACAAGCACCAGCTGTGTCTGTGTAGAAACGTCCGTGGTCTCGTCAGCTTGGATAGCTACGAAGTTCGCCGACTTCACCTCCTCCACAATATGTTCCCTCATGACCGCTAGCATACACTCCAGTAGCTCGTTTTGAATGGTCTTTGATGTGAACTTCTTTCAAAGAGACAATCGAGTTGCACTGAAGGCTAGCCATCTTGATAGTAGTACGTGAATTGATTGACGCTGCTACCCGCTCTTTTCTTAGTTACGTTCATGGTTATGTTACGTATGACGAAAGCGCGTAAGTGCAAGCCCTCAGAAACCCATAGAGATTGTATTGAAAGCTCTGATATTTGAAAAAAAAAGATTTTACATGACAGGCTATGAGATACTTCTGGGCGATTTTCAACCTGACTGAAATCGCCCCAAAAGGGGCGGGGCCATTTGAAGCACGACTTTAGCCTGATTGGACATTTAGTGGCAGATCAGACGTCTAGATTAGAACACTGATAACTACTGTTGCCGTGATATAATTGATTAGAAAAAAAATCCCTTCCTTTTCCCGTTTGGCAGTGCGTCGCCCATATCGCCCTAATGAACACACCGCCCCTGCCCAGCTCTCTGCAGGTCATTCACTAGGTCCCCACATGTGGTTCTGGGATTTTTGCTCACTGTTCTTGTGACCATTTTGACCCCAAGGGGTGAGATCTTGCGTGGAGCCCCAGATCGAGGGAGATTATCAGTGGTCTTGTATGTCTTCCATTTCCTAATAATTGCTCCCACAGTTGATTTCTTCAAACCAAGCTGCTTACCTATTGCAGATTCAGTCTTCCCAGCCTGGTGCAGGTCTACAATTTTGTTTCTGGTGTCCTTTGACAGCTCTTTGGTCTTGGCCATAGTGGAGTTTGGAGTGTGACTGTTTGAGGTTGTGGACAGGTGTCTTTTATACTGATAACAAGTTCAAACAGGTGCCATTAATACAGGTAACGAGTGGAGGACAGAGGAGCCTCTTAAAGAAGAAGTTACAGGTCTGTGAGAGCCAGAAATCTTGCTTGTTTGTAGGTGACCAAATACTTATTTTCCACCATAATTTGCAAATAAATTCATAAAAAATTCTACAATGTGATTTTCTGGATATTTTTTTCTCATTTTGTCTGTCATAGTTGACGTGTACCTATGATGAAAATTACAGGCCTCTCTCATGTTTTTAAGTGGGAGAACTTGCACAATTGGTGGCATACTAAATACTTTTTTCCCCCACTGTATAAATCTAGCTGGTTTTTCTATACATCGGCAGGACAGAACAGCTGCGTCCGGTAAACTGAGGGGAGGGGGGATGTATCTAATTGTCAACAACAGTTGGTGAGCGATCTCTAATATTAAGATAGCCTCGAGGTTCTGCTCGCCTGAGGTAGAATACCTCATGATAAGCTGTAGACCACACCATTTACCAATTTACTATTTTTGTAGCTGTCTATTTACCACCACAAACCAATGCTGGCACTAATAGAGTACCCAACGAGCTGTATAAGGCCACAAGCAAACAAGAAAATGCTCACCCAGATGCAGCGCTGCGGATTTTAATGCAGGAAAACTGAAATAATTTCTACCAGCATGTCTCCTGTGCAACTAGAGGCGAAAAAAAACTCTAGATCACCTTCACTCCACACACAGAGACGCATACAAAGCTCTCCCTCGCCCTCCAGTTGGCAAATCTGACCATAACTCCATCCTCTTAATTCCTGCTTACAAGCAAAAACTCAAATAGGAAGTACCAGCGATGCGCTCAATTCTGAAGTGGTCCGATGAAGTGGACGCTAAGCTACAGGACTGTTTCTCTAGCACAGATTGGAATATGTTCCGGGATTCATCCGATGGCCTTGAGGAGTTTATCACATCAGTCATCGGCTTCATTAATAAGTGCATTGACGACGTAGTCCCCACAGTGACCGTATGTACATATCCTAATCAGAAGCCATGGATTACAGGCAACATCCGCACTCAGTTAAATGCTAGAGCTGCCGCTTTCAAGGAGCAGGACACAAATCCAAATAAAAAATAATCACGCTACGCCATCTGACAAACCATCAAACAGGCAAAGCGTCAATACAAGACTAACATCGAATCCTACTACACTGGCACTGATGCTCGTCGGATGTGGCAGGGCTTGCAAACTATCACTGATCACAAAGGGAAACCGAGCCGCGAGCTGCCCAGTGACGCGAGCCTACCAGACGAGCTAAATGCCTTCTATGCTTGTTTCGACGCAAGCAACATTGAACCATGTATGAGAGCACCAGCTGTTCCGGACGACTGTGTGATCACGCTATCCTTAGCCGATATGAGTAAGTCCTTTAAACAGGTTAACATTCACAAGGCCACAGGGCCAGACGGATTACCAGGACGCGTACTCAGCATGCGCTGACCAGCTAGCAAGTGTCTTCACTGACATTTTCAACCTCTCCCTGACCCAGTCTGTAATACCCATGTTTCAAGCAGACCACCATAATCCCTGTGCCAAAGAACACCAAGGTAACCTGTCTAAATGACTATCACCCCGTAGCACTCACATCTGCAGCCATGAAATGCTGGTCATGGCTTCATCAACACCATCCTCCAAGACACCCTGGACCCACTCCAATTCCCATTTCGCCCCAACAGATTCACAGGTGACGCAATCTCTATTGTACTCTACACTTCCCATTCGGACAAAAATAACACCTATGTGTGAATGCTGTTCATTGACAATAGCTCAGTGTTCAACACCATAGTGCCCTCCAAGCTCACCACTAAACTAAGGACCCCAGGATTAAACACCTCCCTCTGCAATTTGATACTGGACGGGGTGGTGAGGCTAGGCAACAACACATCCGCCGCGCTGACCCTCAAACCCAATCAATCACCTAACCTCAGGGGTGTGTGCTTAGCCCCCTCCTGTACTCCCTGTTCACCAACGACTGTGTGGCCGCACATGACTCCAACACCATCATCAAGTTTGCTGACGACACAATGGTGGTAGATGCTGAGTAGATGGCGCCGACGGAAACTATGCTGTATATTTTTTTCAATATATTATTTTTTACATTATTAGCTCAGGAAATATTTTATGTCATTACATACAGCCGGGAAGAAGTATTGGATATCAGAGCGGCGGTAACTCACCAGAACTACCAGCATTACGACCAGGAATACGACTTCCCCGAATCAGATCCTTTGTTAGTTCTCCTGAGAGCAATTTAACTGATTCCAGAGGCCGATTCAAAACATCGCCGGTGGAGGAGAGGCACTCGAGGCGGCCTGCTGGTTCGACTTAGGAGGCGCGTACACCACCCACCGCTTCCGAGTATATATTACTCGCTAATGTTAATTCTTTGGATAACAAAGTTGATGAGCTCAGGGCAAGGATTTCTTTGCAGGGAGACATCAGGGCCCGTAACATACTTTGTCTCACGGAAACAAAGCAACTCGGGATACTCTGTCGGAATCGGTCCAGCCAGAGGGATTCTCAGTTCATCGGGCAGATAGGAATAAATATCTCTCCGGGAAGCAGAAGGGCGGATGTGTGTGTTTCATGATTAACGACTTATGGTGTAATTGTGGTAACATACAGGACCTCAAGTCCTTTTGGTCATCCAACCTAGAATACCTCACCATCAAATGCAGACCGTATTATCTCCCAAGATAATTTTCCTCTGTTATAGCCACAGCTGTTTACATCCCCCCTCAAGCTGATACCACGACGGCCCTCAAAGAACTTCACTGGACTTTATGCAAACTGGAAACACATATCCTGAGGCTGCATTTATTGTAGCTGGGGATTTTAACAAAGCAAATTTGAGGACAAGGCTGCCGAAGTTCTATCAACATATTGACTGTAGTACTCGCGCTGCTAAAACTCTGGACCACTGTTATTCAAACTTCCGCGATGCTTACAAGGCCCTCCCCCGTCCTCCTTTCGGCAAATCTGACCACAACTACATTTTGCTTCTCCCTTCCTATAGGCAGAAACTCAAACAGGAAGTACCCATGTTAAGGACTACTCAACGCTGGTCTGACCAATCGGAATCCACGCTTCAAGATTGTTTTGATCACGCGGACTGGGATATGTTCCGGGTAGCTTGCGACGAAAACACTGATACGGTAACTGAGTATAACAGGAAGTGTATAGGAGATGTCGTACCAACTGTGACTATTAAAACTTACCCTAACCAGAAACCGTGGATGGACACGAGATGTATGTGGCAGGGTCTACAGACAATCACGGACTACAAAAGGAAAACCAGCCACGTCGGCAAGACCGACGTCTTGCTTCCGGACAAGCTAAAACACCTTCTTCACCCGCTTTGAGGATAACACAGTGCCACCGACGCAGCCCGACGTGAGTAAAACATTTAAACATGTTAACCCTCGCAAGGCTGCCGGCCCAGACGGCATCCCTAGCCGCGTTCTTAGAGCATGCGCAGACCAGCTGGCTGGTGTGTTTACGGACATATTCAATCTCTCCCTATCCCAGTCTGCTGTCCCCACATGCTTCAAGATGGCCACCATTGTTCCTGTATCCAAGAAAGTAAAGGTAACTGAACAAAATGACTGTCGCCCCGTAGCACTCATCTCTGTCATCATGAAGTGCTTTGAGAGATTAGTCAAGGATCATATCACCTCTACCTTACCTGTCACCCTAGACCCACTTCAATTTGCTTACTGCCCCAATAGATCCACAGACGATGCAATCGCCATCACTCTGCCCTATCCCATCTGGACAAGAGGAATACCTATGTAAGAATGCTGTTCATTGATTATAGCTCAGCATTCAACACCATAGTACCCTCCAAGCTCATCATTAAGCTCGAGGCCCTGGGTCTGAACCCCGCCCTGTGCAACTGGGTCCTGGACTTCCTGACGGGCCGACCCCAGGTGGTGAAGGTAGGAAACAACACCTCCACTTTGCTGATCCTCAACACTGGGGCCCCACAAGGGTGCGTACTCAGCCCACTCCTGTACTCCCTGTTCACCCATGACTGCGTGGCCAAGCATGCTGCCAACTCAAATCATCAAGTTTGCAGACGACACAACAGTAGTAGGCCTGATTACCAACAATGACTCGAGGGCTCTTGGAGTGTGGTGCCAGGAAAATAACCTCTCACTCAACGTCAACAAAACAAAGGAGATGATCGTGGACTTCAGGAAACAGCAGAGGGTGCACCCCCCTATCCACATCGACGGAACCGCATTGGAGAAGGTGGAAATCTTAAAGTTCCTTGGCGTACACATCATTGACAAACTGAAAATGGACCACCCACACAGACAGTGTGGTGAAGAGGGCTCAACAGAGCCTCTTCAACCTCAGGAGGCTAAAGACATTTGGCTTGGCACCTAAAACCCTCACAAACTTTTACAGATGCACAATTGAGAGCATCGTGTCGGGCTGTATCACCGCCTGGTACGGCAACTGCACCGCCCAAAACCGCAAGGCTCTCGAGAGGGTGGTGTGGTCCGCACAACGCAATACCGGGGGCAAACTACCCATCCTCCAGGACACCTACAGCACCTGATGTCACAGGAAGGCCAAAAAGATCATCTAGGACATCAACCAACCGAGCCACTGCCTGTTCACTCCGCAATCATCCAGAAGGTGAGGTCAGTACAGATGCATCAAAGCTGGGACCGAGAGACTGAAAAACTGTTAAACAGCCATCACTAGCACATTAGAGGCTGCTGCCTATAGACATAGACTAGAAATCACTGACCACTTTAAGAAATGGAACACTAGCCACTTTAATAATGTTTACATATCTTGCATTACTCATCTCATATGTATCTACTGTATTCTATACTATTCTACGGAATCTTAGCCACTTTAATAATGTTTACATATCTTGCATTACTCATCTCATATGTATATACTGTATCTTAGTCCATGCCGCTCTGACATCACTCGTCCATATAAACTCAGCAAAAAAAGAAACGTCCTCTCACTGTCAACTGCGTTTATTTTGAGCAAACTTAACATGTGTAAATATTTGTATGAACATAACAAGATTAAACAACTGAGACATAAACTGAAGTTCCACAGACATGTGACTAACAGAAATGGAGTAATGTGTCCCTGAACAAAGGGGGGTGGGGGGGGGGGGGGGATCGAAATCAAAAGTAACAGTCAGTATCTGGTGTGGCCACCAGCTGCATTAAGTACTGCAGTGCATCTCCTCCTCATGGACTGCACCAGATTTGCCAGTTATTGCTGTGAGATTTTACCCCACACTTCCACCAAGGCACCTGCAAGTTCCCTGACATTTCTGGGGGGGGGAATGGCCCTAGCCCTCACCCTCCGATCCAACAGGTCCCAGACGTGCTCAATGGGATTGAGATCCGGGCTCTTCGCTGGCCATGGCAGAACACTGACATTCCTGTATTGCAGGAAATCACGCACAGAACGAGCAGTATGGCTGGTGGCATTGTCATGCTGGAGGGTCATGTCAGGATGAGCCTGCAGGAAGGGTACCACATGAGGGAGGAGGATGTCTTCCCTGTAACGCACAGCGTTGAGATTGCCTGCAATGACAACAAGCTCAGTCCGATGATGCTGTGACACACCGCCCGAGACCTTGACGGCTCTCCACCTCCAAATCAATCCCGCTCCAGAGTACAGGCCTCGGTGTAATGCTCATTCCTTCGACGATAAACGCAAATCCGACTATCACCCCTGGTGAGACAAAACTGCGACTCGTTAGTGAAGAGCACTTTTTGCCAGTCCTGTCTGGTCCAGCGACGGTGGGTTTGTGCCCAAATGCGACGTTGTTGCCGGTGATGTCTGGTGAGGACCTGCCTTACAACAGGCCTACAAGCCCTCAGTCCAGCCTCTCTCAGCCTATTGCGGAAAGTCTGAGCACTGATGGAGGGATTGTGCGTTCCTGGTGTAACTCGGGCAGTTGTTGTTGCCATCCTGTACCTGTCCCGCAGGTGTGATGTCCGGATGTACCGATCCTGTGCAGGTGTTGTTCCACGTGGTCTGCCACTGCGAGGATGATCAGCTGTCCGTCCTGTCTCCCTGTAGCGCTGTCTTAGGCGTCTCACAGTACGGACATTGCAATTTATTGCCCTGGCCACATCTGCAGTCCTCATGCCTCCTTACAGCATGCCTAAGGCACGTTCACGCAGATGAGCAGGGACCCTGGGAATCTTTCTTTTGGTGTTTTTCAGAGTCAGTAGAAAGGCCTCTTTAGTGTCCTAAGTCTTCATAACTGTGACCTTAATTGCCTACCGTCTGTAAGCTGTTAGTGTCTTAACTACCGTTCCACAGGTGCATGTTCATTAATTGTTTATGGTTCATTGAACAAGCATGGGAAACAGTGTTTAAACCCTTTACAATGAAGATCTGTGAAGTTATTTGGATTTTTACTAATTATCTTTGAAAGACAGGGTCCTGAAAAAGGGATGTTTCTTTTTTTGCTGTGTTTATGTATATATGTACTCTTAATTCATTCCTTACTTAGATTTGTGTGTATTGGGTATATGTTTTGAAATTGTTAGATATTACTTGTTAGATATTACTGCACTGTCGGAGCTAGAAGCACAAGCTTTTCGCTACACCCGCAATAACATCTGCTAAATACATGTATGTGACCAATAACATTTGATTTGATTTGGTAGGCCTGATCACTGACGACGATGGGACAGCCTACAGGTAGGAGGTATCAGACCTGGCAGTGTGATGCCAGGACAACAACCTCTCCCTCAACACCAGCAAGACAAAGGAGCTTATCGTGGACTACAGGAAACGAAGGGCCGAGCACACCCCCATTCACATCGATGGGGCTGTAGTGGAGACAGTCGAGAGCTTCAAGTTCCTCCGTGTCCACATCACTAAGGACCAATCATGGTCTAAACACACCAACACAGTCGTGAAGAGGGCACGACAACGCTTCTTCCCCCTCGGGAGTCTGAAAATATTTGGCAACTGCTTGGCGTCCGACCGCAAGGCGCTACAGAGGGTAGTGCGTACGGCCCAGTACATCACTGGTGCCAAGCTCCCTGCCATCCAGGACCTCTATAGGAGGCGGTGTCAGAGGAAGCCCAAAAAATAGTCAAAGTCATTCTGTTCTCTCTGCTACCGCACGGCAAGTGGTACCGGCGAGCCAAGTCTGGTACCAAAAGGCTTCTACCCCAAAGCCATAAGATTGCTGAACAGTTAATCAAACGGCTAACTGGACTTTCTGCTTTTCACCCCCTACCTACATAGTACTTTAATCAATCAATCAATCAATCAATCAATCAATCAATCACCTAACCAAACCTACATGTACTTATTACCTCAATCAATCACCCCAACTACCTCCTACCCCAGTACACTGATTCGGTACCGGTCCTCCTTTTATATAGCCTGGTTATTGTTATTTTATTGTGTTACTATTTTCATTTTATTGATTTGTAACTGTTCTTACTTTTTAACTGCATTGTTGGGAAAGGGCTCGTAAGTAAGCATTTCACAGTTAAGCCTATTCGGCGCATGTGACAAATACAATTTTATTTAATTTTATTTGAAGGAAAGAAGTTCAGGGAGAAATGAGTAAGACTTTCATAAGAGGACGTAAGTGGCCTCTGACGCATGACAAATTACATAACACTGTAGTGGTGTGGTGATGACATACTGCCATCTAGGCTAACTGACAAAGGATTAAAAGACTTGTGCATCCATGCCAAACAGTGTTTTTGTCATAAAAACTCCACAAAACATTGACATTAGTGTCATGGTGTGGGTCCTTAGTAGGTCGTAGTGCAGTGCACAATGTCAGCAGTATCCCCTTGGCTCCACCAGACCTGACGGTCTCCTCTCCTGCACTAGATAAGGGTCTGGCTACTGGTTACATAAGATTATTATGAAAGAGACAAACAGGGGAGGACAAGAGGAAAAACCAAATGGCGACAGAACAGAGGTAAATCCACAGTCCCAGACAATCACCTCCCATTACCGTCTAGTCTAGCCAGAGATGACTGAATTACTAATCAGGCTGGAGAGAAGCCACTTCTTCCCCTGTGTGTGTCTGTGTGTTTGTGACAAGAACAAAGGTGGCTGACACAGAGACATGTAGTTGGAGGGTGGTGTGTGTGTCATGGTTGGGGTCAATTCAGAATTTAATTAAATTCAACCCATTAATTTAAATTTGAAATGGCCACACCCCAGAGGAAGCAGAATTTTAATTAAAGGAAGTAGAATTTAACTCAAACCAATTCAAAGAAATTAAAACTGAGACATGGACAATACAAATGTAAATCCTTTTACAAAATATTTTGTCAAAAGCATCTGCCATCTCTTACTAAAGAAACCATTTCAAATATTAAAAGGTGCACTACGCATAAATCGCTTCGCCATTTCCTGGTTGCAAAGATTCTAATAGTTCGCCTAATTCCAGTTTGTGGCAAAACAAGCAACTATAGTGTAGAGAATAATTGTACCATCTAAACCGCTGTGAAATATTTTTTGCCATAACCAAAGTTATTGTATTTTCAGCTGTTTGAAGCTGGTGTACAAAACCGAAAGGAAAAGACGCAAAAACAAACTTAACGGGAAGCATAGAAATAGTACACATAGAACCGATCTACTGCTTCTTAGACTTGCTTTCAATGAGTATTACAGATCTATAACACATATTTCTGTGTGAATTTGGTCAGTCGCCCAAAATTTTTGCATATGGCAGCTTTAACTTGATTACATAACTCAAAATATGTCAAACAGTATTTTGTTTGTATTTGTTCATGAGATGTTAGGTTGTTCACTTCCATTCTGTTCTGAGTGGTTGATCTAATAACGCATTCTGGAAAGAAAAACTATACTAATACTTATAATAACATGAAAGTGAATTTGAATTATTAGAGTGGAAGGAAGTAGAGATGGGGTGGAGGTACTTCATTAACTGTATTCCTCCTTTCAGGTGAAAAATGTTGGGAAATTAATAGCATGTCTAGAGTGATGTAAGCAGAAAATAGCTACAGCTAACGCAACACGGCTGTTTGATGTGGTGTTAAATGTTTGATACATTCTACTTTCTCTGATTTCCTGCTTCTTTTCCCCAAACACATAGATGTTTAATATACTCATTGATGTAATGCACAGCTGACACTACTGTTGGGAACACTTTACTTGAAGCCTCCACCAACCCCTACATAACCCTGTTGTAACAATAACATAACATACTGTATTTATATTGTTTGTTGTATGTACCTTACCTGCCTACCAGCTGTAAAGTAAAGTAAAGTTCGGAACTCATAAAGATTCTACTCCATTTCTCGATCGATCTCTATCCCTCCATCTCTCACCTGTCATAGTGAAACCCTGAGAGTAGATGATCTCTCCGTCTCCGTAGAAGAGCTGGTCGTCATCCTCGTCGTCCTGGTCGGCGTAGCCGTGCAGGTGCTCCAGGTAGGGCAGTACGGTCATGCTACGCCATGCGTCCCTCCGGTCAGCGCTGGGGGGCATGGGCACCAGAGGCTCTGTGGCAGGGTGTTTCTTCCTCACCCAGCTGAAACCACACAACATTGGTTATACTTCAACTAAGATACAATCTTTATTGTTTTGGGCCCATACCTCATTTTTTGGGGTGATATTTGCCTTTCATTTTGGACCTATCTACATGAAGCTTATTCTTTTTTGTGCAGCTAATTTAGCGTTTATTTAACCAGGTGAGTCAGTTGAGAACCAGTTCTCAATAATGCTCTAGATGCCCAAGGCAAAAAACTCAGTGACACCTGTCTCTGTGTCCAGTATGAAGTAAGTTAGAGGTAGTTTTGCGAGCCAATGCTAACAGGTGTTAGCACAATGACTGGAAGTCTATGGGTATCTGCTTCCAGTCATTGCACTAATGCTAATTAGCAATTGCGCTTGCGCTAGTTAGCAACTTCCTTCAAACTTTACGCATCTGACTCAGGGGAGGTAGATAAAGGGCCTCGTCAAAATCCCGAAGTATCCCTTTAACAAGACGATTTGCTTATGGAAACACAATACAGTGCCTTCAGAAAGTATTAACACTCCTTTACTTTTTCTCCCAGAAAATTTGAGATTGTGTCTCACTGGCCTAACACACACACACAACCCCATAATGTCAAAGTGGAATTATGTTTTTTATTTTATCTTTTACAAATTAATTAAAACTGAAAGGCTGAAATTTCTCGAGTCAATAAGTATTCAACCCCTTTGTTATGGCAAGCCTAAATACGTTCAGGAGTCAAACTTTGCTTAACAAGTCACATAAGTTGCAATAATAGTGTTTAACATGATTTTTGAATTACTTCCTCATCTCTGTACCCCACACATACAATTATCTGTAAAGGTCCCTCAGTCGAGCAGTGAATTTCATCCACAAAGACCAGGGAGGTTTTCCAATGCCTCGCAAAGAAGGGCACCGATTGGTAGATGGGTAAAAATGTAAAAAGCAGACATTGAATATCCCTTTGAGCATGGTGAAGTTATTAATTACACTTTTGATGGTGTGTCAATACACCCAGTCAGTACAAAGATACTAGCGTCCTTCCTAACTCAGTTGCAGGAGAGGGAAGAATACCGCTAAGGGATTTCACCATGAGGCCAATGGTGACTTTAAACAGTTAGAGTTTAATGGCTGTGAGGATGGATCAACAAAATTGATCCAAAATTGTAGTTACTCTACAATCATAAACTAAAATGACAGTGAAAAGAAGGAAGCCTGTACAGAATTAAAAATATTCCAAAACATGCATCCTGTTTGCAATAAGGCACTAAAGTAAAACTGCAAAGAATTTGGCTAAGAAATTAGCTTTATGTCCTGAATACAAAGCGTTATGTTTGGGGCAAATCCTACAACACGTCACTGAGTACCACTCTTCATATTTTTAAGCATGGTGGTGGCTGCATCATGTTATGGGTATGCTTCTCATTGGCAAGGACTAGGGAGATTTTGGGGGGATAAAAATAAATGGAATAGAGCTAAGCACAGGCAGAATCCTAGAGAAAAACCTGGTTCAGTTTGCTTTCCAACAGACACTGGGAGACAAATTCACCTTTCAGCAGGACAATAAGCTAAAACAAAAGGCCAAATATACACTGGAGTTTCTTACCAGGATGACATTGAATGTTCCTAGTTGCAGTTTTGACTTAAATCTGCTTGAAAACCTATGGCAAGACTTGAAAATGGCTGTCTAGCAATGATCAACAACCAACTTGATGGAGCTTGAAGAATTGTAAAAATAATAATGTGCAAATATTGTACAAGCCAGGTGTGCAAATCTCTTAGAGACTTACCCAGAAAGACAGCTGTAAAATCACTGCCAAAAGGTGATTCTAACATGTATTGCCTCAGGGGTGTGAATACTTATGTCAATTAGATATTTCTGTATTTCATTTTCAATAAATTTGCAAAAATGTCAAAAAACATGTAGATGTTTTTTTTTTTTTTTTTTATCCATTTTGAATGCAGACTGAAACACAACAACATGTTGAATAAGTCAAGGGGTATGAATGTGTTGTTAAATGTGTGAACAAAGAAACTACTAAAGGGAGTATGGCCCAGGGCTCTGCAGCTGACATGCAGAGGAACATGGGGACAGGCTTTGTGTGACTGACATCTATGACAAAGAGGCAAGCTTCTGTCATCTGCCACTAGGTAGTGTGTGTTCTCTCCAGACCTGGGTTCAAATACTATTTCAATTATTTTAATTACTTATAAATATATCTCAAAGTAAGAATTTCCATATTGTTTCTTTGAAGATACAAGTAGCGAAATATTATAATGTATTTGGAAATACACTTGGAAAGTATCGGCATGTATTTGAAAATACTCAAATACACAGACAAGTGTATTTTCAAATACAAATATTCAAATACTCAAAGGCATTTTAATCCAGGTCTGTTTGGTCCTAGGGTTATTTGAAATAATGTATTTAGAAATAAGTATTTGAAAATAGTTTCAAATAGCAGGCTATTTATAGGAAATTATTTGAAAAATACTGTCAAATACTTCTAATAGAGGTAGTTGATTCAGCACCACATTAGAAAACACTCAAAATACACAGAATATAAGTATTTAAATAACAAATACTTAGATAACAATGTATTTGAACACGGATCTGGTTCGCTCTCATTCATTTACACACCAAATAGCACACACACACACACACACACACACACACACACAACACACAGCTTAGGAGCTCCTAATTAGGGGGCATGGTGGAAACAGCTGGTCTCTCCCAAGAGCGCAGGCCTTTTATGTGTTGCATATTAAAAACACTCCCTGTCATCCATTACTGTCATAGTAATTTGACATGCAAATACTCAACTACTGTACTGAAGTACAGTACCGAGATAAAGAGAGACTTGTTAGTGTAGTGTAAAAAGCCTACTCCCAAGCCAGCTTTAAAGCCAAATCTCCAGTCTCCTCGCATTGGGCTAAAACTAGTGATGGGGCGAGGGGGGGGGGGGGGGGGGGGGGGGGGGGCTCCCTCTTGTCCCTCTGCAGCAGACATACAATACCAGTCAAAAGTTTGGACACACCTACTCTTTCAAGGGTTTTTCTTTATTTTTACTATTCTTTATATTGTAGAATAATAGTGAAGACATCAAAACTATGAAGTAACACATATGGAATCATGTAGTAAGCAAAAGAGTGTTAAACAAATCAAAATATATTTTTTATTCGAGATTCTTCAAATAGCCACCCTTTGCCTTGATGACAGCTTTGCACACTCTTGGCATTCTCTCAACCTGCTTCATGAGGTAGTCACATGGAATGCATTTCAATTAACAGGTGTGCCTTCTTAAAAGTTAATTTGTGGAATTTCTTTCCTTCTTAATGCGTTTGAGCCAATCAGTTGTGTTGTGACAAGGTAGGGGGGGGGGGTATACAGAAGATAGCCCTATTTGGTAACAGATCAAGTCCATATTATGGCAAGAACAGCTCAAATAAGAAAAGAGAAACGACAGTCCATCATTACTTTAAGACCTGAAGGTCAGTCAATACGGAACATTTCAAGAACTTTGAAAGTTTCTTCAAGTGCAGTCGCAAAAACCATCAAGCGCTATGATGAAACTGGCTCTCATGAGGACCGCCACAGGAATGGAAGACCCAGAGTTACCTCTGTTGCAGAGGATAAGTTAATTAGAGTTACCAGCCTCAGAAATTGCAGCCCAAATAAATGCTTCACAGAGTTCAAGTCACAGACACATCTCAACATCAACTATTCAGTGGGGACTGTGTGAGTCAGGTCTTCATGGTCGAATTGCTGCAAAGAAACCACTACTAAAGGACACCAATTAGAAGAAGAGACCTGCTTGGGCCAAGAAACACGAGCAATGGACATTAGACCAGAGGAAATTTGTCCTTTGGTCTGGAGTCCAAATTTGAGATCTTTGGTTCCAACCGCCGTGTCTTTGTGAGACGCGGTTTGGGTGAACGGATGATCTCCGCATGAGTAGTTCCCACAGTAAAGCATGGACGAGGAGGTGTTATGGTGTGGGGGTGCTTTGCTGGTGACACTGTCTGTGATTTATTTAGAATTCAAGGCACACTTAACCAGCATGGCTACCACAGCAGTCTGCAGCGATACTCCATCCCATCTGGTTTGGGCTTAGTGGGACTATCATTTGTTTATCAACAGGACAATGACCCAGCACACCTCCAGGATGTGTAAGGGCTATTTTAGCAAGAAGGAGAGTGATGGAGTGCTGCATCAGATCACCTGGCCTCCACAATCCCCCGACCGCAACCCAATTGAGATGGTTTGGGATGAGTCGGACGGCAGAGTGAAGAAAAAGCAGCATATGTGCTCAGCATATGTGGGAACTCCTTCAAGACTGTTGAAAAAGCATTCCAGCTGAGTGTCCAAAGCAGTCATCAAGGCAAAGGGTGGCTATTTGAAGAATCTCAAATATAAAATATGTTTTGATTTGTTTAACACTTTTGTGGTTACTACATGATTCCATATGTGTTATTTCATAGTTTGGATGTCTTTACTATTATTCTAATATGTAGAAAATAGTAAAAATAAAGAAAAACCCTTGAATGAGTAGGTGTGTCCAACCTTTTGACTGGTACTGTGTGGTGAGCAATATGTTTGGAACATTGAATCGCAATAAAATCACAGTACCGAATCGCAATACAGTAGCGTGATAATATCGTATTGTGAGGTCCCTGGCAATTCCCAGCCCTAGCATATACAGGACAACAAAGTAGTCCTTGCAGCCAGGCGTGATTTGCTCTGATGTTGACAGACTACAACAGCGCGGATTGAGGACAACAGAAGCAGAGCCGCAATGCACAACAATTGACCAAGGATTTCTTTTTTTGTCATTCTCACTGCAGTATGTTTCACCACTAAATCTCCTGCATGTCATAAAGCAGAATCATTTTGTTGAGTTCATATTTAAGAGACAGAAATGTCCCACGTCCCCTTCCTCCTATTGCCAGAAATAGTGAAGAGCTAAGCAACACACTATGTAACGGGCAGCTTACTTTCTGAAAAAGGAGTGAGTAATAGTAGAGAGAGAGGCCTGTGGAGACCTTGGCCTTTTGTTTCGTAACAACGCATGGAGCGTCAGTGACGACAGCCATACCATGGGGCCATAGAGGTAGGCATGTGTGCACAGTATGATTGTGTGTGTTTTCTGTACATTGTGACGTGGGATAGATTGTGTGTGTTTTCTGTACATTGTGACGTGGGATTGATTGTGTTTTCTGTACATTGTGTGTACAACTCCTCTTTACATTCTATCTTCTCCATCTTTTCCTTGATTATAACAGGACACACTCCCACTCACTGCTATTCACTGATTTACATTTACATTTTAGTCATTTAGCAGACGCTCTTATCCAGAGCGACTTACAGTTAGTGAATACATTTTTTTTTTTATACTGGCCCCCCGTGGGAATCAAACCCACAACCCTGGCGTTGCAAACGCCATGCTCTATCAACTGAGCTACATCCCTGCCGGCCATTCCCTCCCCTACCCTGGACGACGCTGGGCCAATTGTGCGCCGTCCATGAGTCTCCCGGTCGCGGCCGGCTGCGACAGAGCCTGGATTCGAACCAGGATCTCTAGTGGCACAGTTAGCACTGTGATGCAGTGCCTTAGACCACTGCGCCACTCAGGAGTCATATCAAGTGCTGCAGACATTCTCCTCCACTCACTAGTTATATAATGGAATAAGCAATAAGCAGTTACTTAAAGCAACTTATATATGTATACTGAACAAAAATATAAAAACGCAACATGTAAAGTGTTGGTCCCATGTTTTATGAGCTGAAATAAAAAGATCACAGAAATGTCCCATACAACATTCCACAATCAACAGCCTGATCAACGCTATGCGAAGGAGATGTTTAGCGCTGCATGAGGCAAATGGGGGTCACACCAGATACTGACTGGTTCTGATCCACGCCCCTAGCTTTTTTTTTTTTTTTTTTTTTTAAAAGGTATCTTTGACCAACAGATTCATATCTGTATTCACAGTCATGTGAAATCCATAGATTAGGGCCTATTGAATTTATTTCAATTGACTGATTTCCTTATTAACTGTAACTCAGTAAAATCTTTGAAATTGTTGCGTTTATATTTGTGTTCAGTGTATAATTGGTGATGTGCAGTTAAGAGAGGGCTAGTAAAATGAGGGTTTAGGATAAGAAGTGATCAAGCCTCCATAAGGCAGCCTAGTGAAGCTGCTACACCATAAGAGAAGGGTCCCCTCAGGAGCTGGGTCATTAAAGTTGCATTGACTCCAGCATGGTGTCTCTACCCATAGTAATTCTCCTTAATGTTAATATTTGCACAGAGCTGGGTAATTAATTTTAAAGACCCATCTGCCCTTTTGCCTGGTTAAATATTTATACAGTCATTTTTCCCCAGCTCCTATTTACGCCTCCTTATCGTTTGTTTATTTTGGCATGGCCACAAATAGAAGGACCACATATGAAGGAGCGATTGATTAGATTCTCCTGAATAATTGCATGTTATTAACTTTGTTATTAACATGCACTAAGGTAGGTTAGGTCAGGCGACACAGGACACACTACATCCTATCATGGTGAGCAATCCATACCTGGAAGTGAAAGAAACTTGAAGTTAAACACATTTGCTATCAAGTTAATAAACTATAAATAAGCTATGTTAATAAACAGAATATTCAAGAAGCGTATGTTAGATGTATCTAAACCAACTCTCCAACATAGTTCATAAAACATTTTTAGTTGTACTTTTCACCCCTTTTTTTCCCCCAATTTCGTGATATCCAAATTGGTAGTTACAGTATTGTCCCAGCGCTGCAACTCCCGTACGGACTCGGGAGAGGCGAAGGTCGAGAGCCATGCGTCCTCCGAAACACGACCCCACCAAGCCGCACTGCTTCTTGACACACTGCCCGCTTAACCCGGAAGCCAGCTGCACCAATGTGTCGGAGGAAACGTCGTACAGCTGGAGCGCGATGGGACAAGGACATCCCGGACGGGCAAACCCTCCCCTAACCCGGACGACGCTGGGCGAATTGTGCGCCGCCTCATGGGTCTCCCGGTCCTGGCCGGCTGCGACACAGCCTGGGATCAAACCCGGGTCTGTAGTGATGCCTCTAGCACTGCGATGCAGTGCCTTGAACCACTGCGCCACTCGGGAGGCCCCCACATAGTTCATTACAAGCATGTGTATGTGTGCGTGTCTACACTCTACAAGAATTTGCCTGTTTTCATAATTTTTCTCTCATTCCATTTTGCACCCAATACAGTGAGCCAAAATGAAATATGATTTTAAAGCAGTTTCGAGACGCCCACGGTGAATACAATGCATGATTTTCCCTCCCTCCCTCTCCGAGCTCTAGCATCACACAGATACGCTTCAGTCATCTGTTGCCATGGTAACTGCAGCCGACACTCGCCAGATCATCAGCCCATGTAGTCAAGAGTCTTTAAGGGCTTGGAAAAAAGACTGGAAAGTTAGGAGGAGAGAGAGGGAGCGATAGATAGGCAGCATTTCCCAGCCCAGCCAGTCTGACTGATGCCTTTTTAACTACAGCTCATCAGAAGCCCTGAGGTAGCACCAAATAAGGCAACATATCTCACTACCACATGACTTCTCATAATGTTATTAGATAGAGGCATACAAAAGGTTGGAAGCATAATTGGTTGTAACTAGGGTTGAACGGCGGAAACCCGGTTACCGAGATTTATCACCCAAAACCACTCCCTTTTCCGAGGACAAATAACTGTGAGAAACCGGTAAATTATAATACATTATTTACAGTTGAAGTCGGAAGTTTACATACACCTTAGCCAAATACATTTAAACTCAGTTTCACAATTCTTGACATTTAATCCTAGTAAAAATTCCCTGTCTGACTTTAATTTAAGAATGTGAAATGTCAGAATAATAGTAGAGAGGATGATTTATTTCAGCTTTTATTTCTTTCATCACATTCCCAGTGGGTCAGAAGTTTACATACACTCAATTAGTATTTGGTAGCATTGCCTTTAAAATTCTTAACTTGGGTCAAACGTTTCGGGTAGCCTTCCACAAGCTTCCCACAATAAGTTGGGTGAATTTTGGCCCATTCCTCCTGACAGAGCTGATGTAACTGAGTCAGGTTTGTAGGCCTCCTTGCTCACACACGCTTTTTCAGTTCTGCCCACATATTTTCTATAGGATTGAGGTCAGGGTTTTGTGATGGCCACTCCAATACCTTGACTTTGTTGTCCTTAAGCCATTTTGCCACAAATTTGGAAGTATGCTTGGGGTCATTATCCATTTGGAAGACCCATTTGCGACCAAGCTTTAACTTCCTGACTGATGTCTTGAGATGTTGCTTCAATATATCCACATTATATTCATTCCTCATGATGCCATCTATTTTGTGAAGTGCACCAGTCCCTCCTGCAGCAAAGCACACCCACAGCATGATGCTGTCACCCCCATGCTTCACGGTTGGGATGGTGTTCTTCGGCTTGCGAGCAACCCCCTTTTTCCTCCAAACATAACAATGGTCATTATGGCCAAACAGTTCTATTTTTGTTTCATCAGACCAGGGGACATTTATCCAAAAAGCACAATCTTTGTCCCCTTGTGCAGTTGCAAACCGTAGTCTGTCTTTTTTATGGCGGTTTTGGAGCAGCGGCTTCTTCCTTGCTGAGCGGCCTTTCCGGTTATGTCGATATAGGACTCGTTTTACTATGGATATAGATACTTTTGTACCTGTTTCCTCCAGCATCTTCACAAGGTCCTTTGCTGTTGTTCTGGTATTGATTTGCACTTTTCGCACCAAAGTACGTTCATCTCTAGGAGACAGAACGCATCTCCTTCCTGAGCGGTATGATGGCTTCGTGGTCCCATGGTGTTTATACTTGCGTACTATTGTTTGTACAGATGAACATGGTACCTTCAGGCGTTTGGAAAAGGATGAACCAGACTTGTGGAGGTCTACAATTTTTTTTCTGAGATCTTGGCTGATTTCTTTTGATTTTCCCATGATGTCAAGCAAAGAGGCACTGAGTTTGAAGGTAGGCCTTGAAATACATCCACAGGTACACCTCCAATTGACTCAAATGATGTCAATTAGCCTATCAGAAGCTTCTAAAGCCATGACATCATTTTCTGGAATTTCCCAAGCTGTTTAAAGGCAGTCAACTAAGTTTATGTAAACTTCTGACCCACTGGAATTGTGATACAGTGAATTATAAGTGGAATAATGTGTCTGTAAACAATTGTTGGAAAAATTACTTGTGTCATGCACAAAGTAGATGTCCTAATCGACTTGCCAAAACTATAGTTTGTTAACAAGAAATTTGTGGAGTGGTTGAAAATCGAGTTTTAATGACTCCAACCTAAGTGTATGTAAACTTCCGACTTCAACTGTATATGAACAGCATGGCGTGAAATGGAACAGTTAAATTATATGCCATGTCTAAATCTGGATTCTCTACGGCCTCTGCATGATGAATCAATGCTCAGGGTGGGGACAGACCATCTCAGTATGGAGCAGCAGTTCACAATGCATGCAGACCTATCATCTCATCACGGTAACTTTTTTTCTTGTGACAGGTAGACCTAAATTTACTGCAGCATAGCCTATGTTACAGTAATGTAAAGACAGACTGCGTGTTTAATTTACCCATCTCCATCTGGCTTTTGGGAGTCACCTTGTTTTTTAAATTGTAAAGATAATAATTTTGTTAATTGCCGCTGCAGAGTTTTAAAAACAGCCTATCTCTCGAATATCTTTGCTTTAATCAGTGCACCCGCGAGCACTCTCTCGCAGTCTTGCTCTCTCTCCATCAACTCCATTCAAATTGCATCCAAAATAGTTCATCCTGTTCTAGATTGATATATAGCCCTATATATAGGATGTCCTAGCCTACCTCTTTCAGGTAATACATTCAATGCAGTATTAGCCTTATAGTTAGCTCATTAATGATGGGTTATGCATAATAAGCTTCTAACTTATAGCCTCGGTCTCTTGTGCAATACGCAAGCGCCTGTGCTACGCTGGCCTCTCCTTAAACAACGCTCCTTAGCTCTTGGAGTCCCATACAGGAAAAGCTATTCGAAGAGGGACGCAAGCTCTTTTTTGCTGAACGTTAAATACAGCAGCCCAATAGAACTCATGGGTAGTTTGAAAGAAGAGCGAACGCGATGGCGGTCTATAGCAGTTATTTATTCAGACCCATAACCATTCAATATTCGTGAAGAGAAGTGAAAGCCTTCTGCATCTAATTCTAATCCTATATTAATCAAGTATGTCATTAGAATGATGAAGATAAGGACAACGAAACGTATTTCATTTAACTGTTGAAAGCGAGGAAGGAATGAAGCGACAATAGCGAGAGAAAGAGGAGGTAGGCTAATAACAGAGGAAATATTATGAAAAGGTATATATGCATCAGCTTACTAATTATACAAATAGGCCCTATTATTTTCCCAAATTAAAATACAATTTGCTATCCTATACTTGTAACTTTGTAAGCCGCATGTGCTGCACCAGAACCACATGTTTTCTTCTGCTTTATCATGGTTTGAACGATGTGCGTAATTCCAGTCCATATAATACAGAACAGTAATACAGTTCACAATCAAAAAGATTAGCCTACTGGAGCTAGTTTCATTTATTTACCCAAGAGAGCATATAGCTAGCTACATCTATGGGCTTTTATGTTTTTCTGTCATGCGTATTGTGCAGTAATCTATATCATATAGGTTATGTATTGTAAACAAACAGACAGGAGCTAAATTATCATAAAAGCCTGTTCCAACACAATGGGCCTCACATAAGACCTCCAAATGATACAAGAGAGAGGCAGTGTGTTCTGTTTTCTCCTCCCATCATTATCAAAATGATACAATTTGGCCTTCAGCAGAGCTCAGATGCAAATGACAACAAATCGATCACAAAAATGACAGCCTGTTTCCTCAAACACTTTGATTGGACATCGCTCATCACCGGACTGCTGTTTTCCCCAAATCATCTCCGGTTTCATTTGTATAAGTTAAATTGCTGCTTCAGATAAAAAGGGAGCACGATTACTTACTTGTGTTGTCTAATGTGTTGTATTGAGAACCTCTTCTCAGGGTTATACTCAAGCATTCCTGGAAGAAAAATACAAAATAAATTGACCGTTTTGTAATCATTTGATGAGATACATTTATTCCTTTCATTATGTCCTTATTTTTGTGCAGTGTTTAAATCAGGGCTACTTGACAACAATGAAAACAGACAATTGCGCCATAATGACCGTTTCCTGCGAGAAAAACAGAGTGCCTGTCCTTCAAACACATCTTTATCTTAGAATTTTTTTTTCAATACACTGCATATTCATGATGAATCAAAATGATAATTGTTGTGACACATAAGGTACAATCACCACAGAGCCATCTACATCTCCAAAAGACAAACCTCCAAGAATGAATCACTACTTACTGCTAAGTACATCTGAGTGGTCAAATTAAGTCCAATAAAGAGCTAAATCTATAATTCTGTGGTCATACCCTTTTTGTAATGAGTGATTCCTCACGAAACCAGAACAAAAAAAGGCCATGATTTTGGAGATTTTCACTCAATTTTATCCACAGAATGGTCCTTTGGAGGAATGATTGTTGACATATATATATATATATATATATATCTAAACGCATAATTGAGAAATAATGTATCAAAGTTGGCATCCCTCAAATACTCTTACTACTGCAGCTAATGCTTTCATCTCTAATAAGGCTTAATAACATGAAATAGAATATTGGGAGTGCCAGCAGCAGTGTTAGTCAGTTTAGACCAGGGCTCTCCAACCCTGTTCCTGGAGAGTTACCCTCCTGTAGGTTCAGTCCAACCCCAGTTATAACTAACCTGATTCAGCTTATCAACCAGCTAATTATTAGAATCAGGTGATCTTGAGTAGGGTTGGAGTGAAAACCTACAGGAAGGTAGTTCTCCAGGAACAGGGTTGGAGAGCCCTGGTCTAGACTCTTACCTCTTAACAGACCAGAGAGTAGAGGGCCACACTCCTCTGGAACACTGTAGTCTCCCTTCCCAATGTTCTCAAACAGCTTATAGATGTTGTCACCTTCGAAAGGGTACAGGCTGGTCGTTATGTTATAACTGAAAGAAAAAATACAATTACAAAATCAAGAAGAGTACTTGAATTAAGAATCATCTGCAGGGGCACAACTTTCACTGGGGACGGGGACATGCCCCCCCACCCCCCACATTCTGAAATTGCATTTTTGTCCCCCCCAGTTTTATCATTGGAATGTGATACAAAAACGAGGCAACGGTGTGCTTTAGGACCAATGCGGACACCTCCGAGTGGTCGGGTAGGCTCTTTGGAGTGTTTATCCGACTGAAAAAAATGAATAATAATAATAAGTCCCCCCACTTCTAAAACCAAAGTTGCGCCCCTGATCATCTGTAATTTAAAATCACAGACAGCAAAGTATGTTAAATTCAACAAACTGTATTTATCCCCAAGAGCCATTAAATAAATATGCCAGCTGAAACAATTAATGTCTGAGTGGCCACTCACAGTGTGACACCAGCAGACCAGATGTCCACTTTGAACCCTGAGAAGGTGTCCAGGCCGTTGGCGATCTCTGGGGGCTGGAAGGCTGGAGAGCCCTGGCTCGTACAACACGTGTCATCCTCTGCAAATGGGTGCAGCGCCTTGGGAGGGAGAACAGGAACACACAGATAATCATTCAGCCCCATAAAGGTAACCCAATTAAAATGCAATATAAAGTGGATATCGGAAAACGGTCAGAGGACTGGGGGCTCACCTCTGCTACACCCAGGTCGGAGATTCTTAGTGCGCCGTCCGTCGTCAGTAGTAGATTCCCTGGTTTAATATCTTTGTGAACAATTCCTTGGCTGTGCAAATATTCCAAGCCATCTAGCAGCTGACAAAAGTACCTTGGGAAAAACAGCAATATATCTGTATTAACTTCACTGTTTGGTATTAGTGTTTGGCCAGATATCTTTAACTATTCAATTGAGATGAAAGGTAAACATACCCATGAGCTTGAAAGACTGGAAACCTTTTCTCATCAACACTGTCCAACATCTCCTGCATTCCACATACACAATATTCCATCACCATATACGTAAGCAAAGTCAAGGAAAAGAGACAAGGTGGCAATGGTTTCATATTGGTAATTTAGCAAGGCGCCAAAGGATTTATATTATTTCAACACAAATAACCTTAAATCCTAATGTCTACTACAGTACTGATCAATACGTGGTTGACTGACTAGTCACTAATCCATAAAACTAGCTAGATACACAAAATATCATTGATCCAAGTCTGGGAACATACAATTTGTCCTTGAGAATAAGTTCATCTTCCTGAATGGAACAAAGATGACAAGACAATAAATGCGTACAAATTGTGAAATTGAATGTCAAAACAATACTAAATTCTGTATTCACACTTCTCAGGGTCACTTACAGAAGGCACTTTATCTAGCCAGCAGCCTCAGTCAGAGCGGGGAGGAGAGAGGCGTGAAAGGTGGGGATATTTCCATCCCATTGTTGGATTGGGGAGGGCTGGATAGGTAAACAGGCGGCAGGTCTATGACACAGTGGGAGCCTCTTGGTCAGTCAGTGGCCCCCTCTCTTCCCAGAGAGGGGGGAGCCCGGTCAGCCCACAGTATGAGCAGTGCACCCACATTACAACCCCATTGACTAACCACCGGAGGGACTTCACATGACCGGTTAGAAAGGTACAGTGAGGAGAGGGAGGGAGGAAGAGAGAAGAAGGGAGAGAGGGGGACCCAATCCCTGCTTCTCATCGCTTTTTCTCCTCTCATTGCCGGTTTAATCAGTAACACACATTAGGAGTAAACTGAGTGACTAGCTAGATGATTCAGGGGGCTGGGCTGCAGTCAGACGGGCTGGAGGACCAATCACCAATGGCTGGGTCCCGTTCGGCCATCTGACATAGGAGTCATGGGCTTGTAGACAGAGGGTGGGCGGGATATAATCAGAAATCATTGCCTCTCAAAATGTATTTGTGTAGCAATTTTTTCAAGGTAGAATTCTACAAATTCCTACTTCTAGCTTTGTGTAAAAAGATGGGTTACAAAAACCATATGGTTCAGTGTTGCCTTTAGAAACGGTGATGTTTAGTTTGCAACTATTCTCCTTAGAGTTGTATAGAAGCTGAAGCCAGAGCTCTCACATCCTGGACATCTGTGTGTTCCACACAAATGACAGACACGTCTTCAGCACCACTGCACTTTTACAGCTGCAAGGCTAACTGACCTGTCACCTGTATGCCACAATGTTCCAACAGAGTAATTCAGGAGAAAAGGAACAGAGGAGGAGCATGAACAAAACAGAGCCCTTCACAAGTCATACACAGAGCCTTGTGTATGAAGTCAAAACGGAGACATTCTATTAAGTCAATCTTCTACGACGCAACAACTAAAAAGACAAACAAAACCATAGGTTTACAACCACGTCATTAGTTCCTATAATATGTTCTCACCTCAACAATTACCCTAAAATGCCAATTGGGATTTATTTGACCTGACATTGGCAGAATCCTTCATGGTCCTAAAGAGCAAGTGGTGAGCCATCTTAAGTGTTAACAGTACTAAATCAATTGGGGAGACCCTTTTAATGTCAGAGACAAAGGTTAATTCGTTTTATGTGGTCTAGAGCAGCAGACTTCTAAAGGACCCGTCAGAGATGATTAGAATTAAAGACAGTGAGTTGGGGGGAGGGAGAGAGCAGAAGGTAAATGTTTGTGAAGTTTGTTAGTCCATCTGATTGAGCTTCATGTAGCCTTTTTCACCCCAAGAGGCCAACAGAGACCCCTTGTGGTCATAACGCTGAATTACAGCAACATGAGCTATGAAGGACAGTCCATGCTTGTTTTTACAGTTGATCTGCATAGCTTACTCTACAACTGTTCCATGGGACAAGATCATTCCCTAAGGTGAGGAAAAAGTCACCCCAAAATAGACTAGCCTATCCCACTATCCACACATTATTACGCTTGGACAAGGGCTCCCGAGTGGCGCAGCGATCTAAGGCACTGCATCTCTGTGACCGTAAAAGCCTTGTTTTTTTCATGTTAACATCAGAAGCCTCCTCCCTAAGTTTGTGTTACTCACTGCGTTAGCACACTCCGTCAACCCTGATGTTCTAGCAGTGTCTGAATCTACTGTAGAGATAGCCAGCAGAACTCTATCACACTATCCAGGTCTGTGCCCAAACAGTTTGAGCTTCTACTTCTAAAAATCCACCTCTCCAGAAATAAGTATCACTGTTGACGCTTGCTACAGACCCCCCTCAGACCCCCAGCTGTGCCCTGGACACCATATGTGAATTGATTGCCCCCCATCTATCCTCAGACTTCGTATTGCTTGGGGACCTAAACTGGGATATGCTTAACAACCCGGCCATCCTACAATCTAAACTAGATGCCCTCAATCTCACACAAATTATCAAGGAACCTACCAGGTACAACCCTAAATCCGTAAACATGGGCACCCTCATAGATATCATCCTGACTAATTTACCCTCTAAATACACCTCCGCTGTCTTCAACCAGGATCTCAGCGATCACTGCCTGCATCCGTAAATGGGTCCGCGGTCAAACGACCACCCCTCATCACTATCAAACGCTCCCTAAAACACTTCAGCGAGCAGGCCTTTCGAATTGACCTGGCCCGGGTATCCTGGATGGATATTGACCTCATTCCGTCAATTGAGGATGCCTGGTTGTTCTTTAAAAGTGCTTTCCTCTCCATCTTAAATAAGCATGCCCCATTCAAAAAATTCCAAACTAAGAACAGATATAGCCCCTGGTTCATCCCAGACTGCCCTTGACCAGCACAAAAACATCCTGCGGCGTACTGCATTAGCATCGAACAGCCCCCGCAATATGCAACTTTTTAGGGAAGTCAGGAACCAATACACACAATCAGTTAGGAAAGCAAAGGCTAGCTTTTTCAAACAGAAATTTGCATCCTGTAGCACTAACTCCAAAAAGTTTTGGGACACTGTAAAGTCCATAAGAGCACCTCCTCCCAGCTGCCCACTGCACTGAGGCTAGGAAACACTGTCACCAACTATAAATCTACGATAATCGAGAATTTTAATTAGCATTTTGCTACAGCTGGCCATGCTTTCCACCTGGCTACCCCTACCCCGGCCAACAGCTCTGTTCAATGTGTCAAATCGGAGGGCCTGTTGTCTGGACCTCTGGCAGTCTCTATGGGGGTGCCACAGGGTTCAATTCTCGGGCAGACTCTATTCTCTGTGTATATCAATGATGTCGCTCTTGCTGCTGGTGACTCTCAAATCCACTTCTACGCAGACAACACCATTTTGTATACATCTGGCCCTTCATTGGACACTCCAACCGAGCTTCAATGCCATACAACACTCCTTCCGTAGCCTCCAACTGCTCTTAAACACTAGTAAAACTAAATGCATGCTCTTCAATCGAACGCTGCTTGTACCCGCCCGCCCGACTAGAATCACTACTCTAGGCGGGTCTGACTTAGAATATGTGGACAATTACCGGTACAAATACCTAGGTTTCTGGTTAGACCGTAAACTCTCCTTCCAGACTCATATTAAGCATCTCCAATCCAAAGTTAAATCTAGAATCGGCTTCCTATTTCGCAACAAATCCTCCTTCACTCATGCTGCCAAACATGCCCTCGTAAAACTGACTATCCTACCGATCCTTGACTTCGGCGATGTCATTTACAAAATAGCCTCCAACACTCTACTCAGCAAATTGGATGTAGTCTATCACAGTGCCATCCGTTTTGTCACCAAAGCCCCATATACTACCCACCATTGTGACCTGTACGCTCTCGTTGGCTGGCCCTACATATTCGTCGCCAAACCCACTGGCTCCAGGTCATCTATAAATCACTGCTAGGCAAATCCCAGCCTTATCTTAGCTCATTGGTCACCATAGCAACACCCACCCGTAGTATGCGCTCCAGCAGGTATATCTCACTGGTCATCCCCAAAGCCAACACCTCCTTTGGCCGCCATTCCTTCCAGTTCTCTGCTGCTAATGAATGGAACGAACTGCTAAAATCTCTGACGCTGGAGACTCTAATCTCCCTCACTAACTTTAAGCATCAGTTGTCAGAGCAGCTTACCGATGACTGCACCTGTACACAGCCCATCTGTAATTAGCCCACCCAACTACCTCATCCCCATATTGTTATTTATTTTGCTAATTTGCACCCAAGTATCTCTTTTTGCACATCATCTTCTGCACATCTATCACTCCAGTGTTAATACTAAATTGTAATTATTTTGCACTATGGCCTATTTATTGCCTTACACCCATAACTTACTACATTTGCACACACTGTATATAGATTTTCTATTGTGTTATTGACTGTATGTTTTGTTTATCCCATGTGTAACTCTGTGTTGTTGTTGTTTTTAATCGCACTGCTTTGCTTTATCTTGGCCAGGTCGCAGTTGTAAATGAGAACTTGTTCTCAACTGGCTTACCTGGTTAAATAAAGGTGAAATAAATAAATAAATAAAATCTCAGTGCTTGAGGCGTCACTACAGACCCCCTGGTTCGATTCCAGGCTGTATAACAACCAGCCGTGATTGGGAGTCCCATAGGGTGGCGCACAATTGGCCTAGCGTCGTCTGGGTTTGGCCGGTGTAGGCCGTCATTGTAAATAAGAATTTGTTCTTAACTGACTTGCCTAGTTAAATAAAGGTTAAATAAATAAAATAAAAAATCTTATGCAGTGCTAGCGAAGGCTTTGTTAGTGTGACTTGTACGACTCGTGAAACATCTCTATGGTTTAGATACTCATGCTAAAGAACAAAAACATTATTTTTAAAGGATATATCTTTTGCTTCTCCTCATTATATAAAACTTCGACCAACTGGATAATGTTCTTGTGCCTCAATCTTCGTAGCAGCTGAATCTCTCTGTAAAGAAATAAAATAAAAAAGTGTTTAGATATGGTAATAGGAAAACTGGATTAATTGCACTATGGAATACTAATGCAGTTTCATCAGCACTCACAACAGAAACCACAGGGCAAAAGTAATTTGAACAACCTTAATGTTGTTTTATCTTCTGGACTTTCAAAGGCAAGATTTATTGAGATAAATATTATTAGTGTCCTGAAAAGCTCAATTTACATCCCACTTCAATCAATAGAGATTAACTTTACACTCAGTGATTCCTCAAAGGCAGAGTAACTCCTGAAGTACATACACTGATTAGAAGCACATTCACACACCAAAACAACAACTCCATGATCAACACAACTAGCTTATTCTGTAGATCAACAGTAAAAGCACTAAAAAAGCCATGCGAAGCATTCCACATACTTTTTTACATTTTGCTCCCCATTGGGGATGCGTCTCAGCTTCTTCTTCTTGAGGATCTTGACTGCCCTCCTGCAGAGCGTCTCAGAGTCCAGCATCTCCTTCACCTTCCCGTAGGAGCCCTCCCCCAGCAGGTCTCCCATCAGGTACTTCCCAATCAGCTTGGCCCTCTTCCTCCGCGGCTCGTAGATGACTTCAGTGGAGTCGATGCGGTGGATGAAGGTTTCCATGCCCATGGTCAAGTCATTCTCCAAATAGTCCATGTGTTCATGGATGTCCTCGTCACTCATGGTTGCCCCTTCAGCGATGTGACTGTTCTTTTTTACTACTGTACTGTATGTTTCTGGATGCCCTGGGTCAGACAATATGAATTTGCAAGAAAAATATTCCAATCCTGAATACTGAAATGCAGACTTGATGTATTGAAATGTGGGATGCTGCAACTGCAGAAATGCAACAGAATGTTCTCCTTAACCTGCTGACGATGCAGCACTGCTTGAGCAGGGTGTCCAGAGAGGTGAGTGGCCTGGGTAGTGTCCAATATTACAATGTCTACAGGGTCTGGCTCTGGTATGAGGGAATGGTTTGGATCTTTGTCTTTGTTCCCTGATCATATAGGCCTATTCCCTCCTTCTTAGCCATGTCCTTGTGACACCTGGAACCTGCCGTGTTGTGATGTGTGCAGCTTTCTTTGGTTCTTGGTGAATGTCATGTTTTGGGCAACTTAATTGTGAATCTGGTGTATGATTCTTCTACAATGTTTAGCTGATCTAATTTTCTACCCCCATCCCATGTACCAAATAAATCCTGGGTACTTGCCAAGACTGCAAAACTGGTCTGCCAGCGTCAATGAATCGTTGCAGGGATCCTCAGATCTGCATTACAAATGCACAATTGCATAAGCATTTTGATGGAATTCACATCATGAGATTGCAACGTCCAAATGCTTGGAATATGACAAATACACACTACCAATGATGTGGATGTGCTATCATAACGATTTACATTTCAATACAAGCGCCTATCATTACAACAAACAATGCTAAATCTTCTTATGAACATCACTTCCATTCAACAACATAGCAGATCATGGGTAGTATACAGTAATCAGTGAGATAGGAAAGTGCAAATCAGCAGATAACTAGCGAGGCTAGATAGCTTCCGTACGGGCACACAGAGGCACAATAACAATTCTGAGATTAGATTAATTGTAGCAGCCAACTCTTGTTCAATAAAAACATCTCCCCAACTAGCTAGCCTGTTTGCCAGCTAGCTATTCACTACTGCAACGCTTCGCAGTCACATCCACAAACCAAGCAATGTTTTTAGCATTCGGCCAGCTAGCTTAACAAGCATACTAGATAGCTAGCTATGTACGACAAACTTACTTGCTTGCTAGCTAGCTAACGTTAGCTAGCTAACGTAACAAACACTACATTTATTTCACGTCCTCTGTCACTACGTCATTTTTCATTACATTTTCAGTTATGGGGTAAATAGTTTGTATGTTGAAAGAGGTCAACTTTACCTTGTATGCTACTTGACCGGTATAATCGATTGCCTATGTAGAAGTGCTGGATGTCAGAAACACCTCCATCTTGTTTACATACTCCATGCTCCAAACCAAAGACAGTACAATATAAAGATAGGCTAAAACTGCTTCTCCAATAGAAATCCCCGATCACACGATGGCGATGTCATGGCGACGTTGGTTAGCAAAGCTCATGCGTAGAAATACGTCATCGTGTCTAATGGTCGTCTCGCGCCAAACTCAAACAAATCAAAGGCACTCCTTCAATATAAAGTTGTTTATTACTCAAATAAAAACGTGTCAGTTTGTCACTTTTGGATTGGAGTAATAACATGTTCAACTACTTAAGTAATTGGCTCGAATCTATGTTGTGCATTTAGATTTCGAGAAAATTAACAACTAAGGAATACTTTTTAATTTCTCTCATTAATTTATCAAGCCCCAAACCCTGGCCTGGTCTGTTTCGCAAGCGTTCCCGGAAGTCTCGCGATGTTGACCTCTGGGTTTAGAAACGCTGTGTCCAAACCATAGAAAATTCACCATGCAGAAATCTATTTCAACCGCTAAGAATTGTGGTATAAGAATACATGGCGCGATCCTCCGAGGGGTTAAAATTCTCCATATCATATCATGGGGCGGCAGGTAGCTTAGTGGTTAAGAGCGTTGTGCCAGTAACCGAAAGGTCGTTGGTTCTAATCCCCGAGCCGACTAGGTGAAAAATCTGTCGATGTGCCCGTGAGTAAGGCACTTAACCCTAATTGCTCCTCTAAATCGCTCTGGATAAGAGCGTCTGCTAAATGACAAAAATGTTAATGTAAATACAGTAGTCTGCTACTAAGGTTGGTTATGCTCAAAACTTTCTACCATATGTTTAGTTTTTTTGTAGAAACAGGACGGTTTCTGTGAGTTGACCTCAATGAAAACATGTCTATGAGAAAATAATTGAGGGCCCTGTGAAAGAGCCCTATCATGTCAATATCAGCTGGTGAGGCTGCATGAATACATTATTGGATTATGCTAATAAATTATAATAATGATTTTATTCAGCCTTCCCTTATGTGGATGTGATGTTAACACTCACCAGTTGATGGCAGCACTGGTATATTATATTTTTCTGGACCAAATGCATAGTGGCCCCAATGATACAGTGGCACATTACAACATAGCCTACTAGTGAACAGACAGATGGATGGACAGAGAAAAGACAGACACATACAAACAGAAGACAGAATATATGATTGATAGGTTGATAGAACATATATCCTTAGTCATATAGCTTTGTGAAAACCCTAGATTCTACACATACTTCAATTTCATGCTGTTTTACAACATTTCTCCAACTTGAAAGGTCCCACCAGTATTGCTTTGCCATAGAGTATATAAATAATAGAGATTATAAGTGGTTAGTCTGGGTCGTAATGCAGTCGCCTCATTATCTGTGTGGCCCAATGATCCAAACCATGTGAGCTGCTGCAGTGACCCAGTGCTCTAGCCCACCCACTGCACCACTCTGATGGGTCAGCATTCCTGCTGTGCCCTAGGGTCTCTGTACAGCAACAGAAGGCAACATCATTCATCACAATTTACAGCAACAGCATATGCTACTTTCATTTTCTCCACCATCAAAGGGACTACATTAAAGCCAGAGACAGAAGGGGGGGGGGGGGGGTTGTGATGCCTCTGAAAGGTATTCCATTTCCACAGAAATCAATCGGCTAGCAGCCAGATGTGTCCATGTAGGCCACAAGGACGGCTCTCTGATCAACAACCAGGGATTCAGGAAGAAGGATGGAGGCGTACATGTGGCTAAAATGAGGCTCACTCTGCCATTCTCACTTAGGGGTTCTATCAGTGAAATGAGTGCAAGACAGGGTTACGGAGTAACTGATTAAATGTATTACATGTAATCAGTTACATGTAATTTGCAAAAATATTGTAATCAGATTACAGATACTTTTGAAAAACTAGATGATTACTTCTTGGATTACTTTTCAATTCAGAAAGGATGTTTGCGGGAGAAAAAAAATCCTTATGACGCCTTTCTGTTTTCTAAATTACATTCAATTCAGCATTGAAAAAAAGGCACAAGTTTATGTTTGTTCCACCTGAGCGAGTCTGACCACAAGTCAGAGACCGCTATGATGACACACCAAATGAGTTTGATGGATCCTTTAAGTCTTCTTCTAATGCCTCTTAAGGTGAAAGTAATCCAAAGTAACTGAAAGTAATCAGAGTGCGATACTGAGTTGAGGTAATCCAAAAGATTCCAATTTTGGACAGGTAACTAGTAACTGTAATGGATTACATTTAGAAAGTAACCTACCCAACCCTGGTGTCAGACCCCCTCCTAGCTACCACATTCACCTACCATCGCTCTGATACTCATATTTTGCATCTGCTTCTGCTTCTCTGCCTTGGTGGCCCTGCCACTGTTGAAGACTGACTTGGGGCCACAAATGTATTTTATCATGTATTAGCTTAAAAAGTGAAAAGGTCTGTCCCCTGGCTTACCCAAAAGCTGATACCCCATCTCTAACATATGGGTATTTATCTAACCACATCGAGCTTAGTGGTAGTTGTGACTGTCTATGGGCAGGACGTATCTGATTTCATAGGCTAGTTAATGATACAGATTCACTTTGCATACGGTTTAGGTTAATCTACAGTGCAATAATAGTCTGTATAGTTGAGGAAATTAGACTCGTCTGCACTGAGGGAAATTAAGAATCATTATTGAATTCTTGAATTCTTGAACTATTCTTTATTTTTGAGTTAATTAACCCATAAGGAAAATCTGACACACATCCACAAAGCACTATGGACTTGTGTAACAACAGTCTCCCATAATCACATCTCACAATCTGATGAGTTCAATTGGGAGGATAGGACATGCAACACAAACCAGACAGAACCTAGACAACAGACCCAGACAAGTGTTAAGTAAGAGACTGCTTCCATTTGCAAAGAAAATATGCCTAATAAGTCACTATGGTCACTACACTCTTAAAACAATCCAGGCTATAAGCAAAGCAGCATGTCATATATCCTGTTATCAGTATACCACTTTTTTAAAGACAGAATTGTGATATTGTTGTTATTGATTATAGTCAACATTGTCCACAGATCAAATTATCTCTATGTAACACAATTGAAAGCTGAAAAGTGCTAAAGGGGTTCTACATTATTATAAATATTTGAATGAAAAATTATGTATTATTTATTCCCATATAATAATTTAAAATGATGCAAAACCAATTTGAAATGTGCAATAGCTACTCTACAATCACAATAACATAATCAGAAGATGCATGGTGCAGTTACGTCTGTTGCACTCTGGTGAGGGGACGTCTCACAAAGAACACTGTCCGTTGCAGCATTTTAACTGGCTGAGACCATCGCCCATCCCAGCAGCATAACTCAGTGGGTTAGGCCTAAATATTTATATAGAGGGGAACAACATCACTTACAACACATTCATTCACTTAAGAGAGAGAACTCTGTGAACTTCCCCATTGGCAAGTTCACAATATTTTGCAAGTTTTGCCACAACTTTTATTTTACAACTTTATATTTTCTTGTGACCACCACCATGGGCTTTTTGACTGCTCTTTTCGGTGTGACACTTGTTGCTTTGAGTCAAATCTTTGGAAGATACCATGTTAATGGTGAGTAAAGCTGTTCAAATGTATTTTCTAATAAATCATGTTTTATACTAGATTCATTATGATTAATTATGAAATAAAATGAAACGAAGTTTTGCTATAAAAATAATAGTCTAACATTAATATGTTATTTTTAAATGTTATTCAAAGTTTTGTATCATTCAAAATGGACAGTAAAAAATTGAATAATGAACATAAACCAACTAAAGCCATAGTTTTGCTTGCTTGATACTGATAATTCTATATTTACAGAGTGCAGGTGCACATGCTGTTACTACAGCTTAATAATAATGTATGTATTAAAGGCAAACAGTTAGCTACTTCATCACTGGTTGGCATTAGTATACAGAACTGCATGTTTATGGATTCCAAAGTAATTTTAATGTCTCATTTAGGCTACTTTAGTATACTTTATATATTATTATTATATTAAAACAATATGAGAGATGTGTAAGTGATGAGTTCGAAAACCTATAAACAAAACTCTATGATTGTGCAACAGCAGGTCTCTACTCTCCTGTCTAAATTGGGGGATTAGATGCTGATGAAGTGTATTGTTTGTGGAGAGAGAGTTCAGCCAGGTCTGGCTATGACTGATCTGGTCCATTCAGCCCACTTTGATGTAGAGTAGACAGAGTCCTGAATATTGTACAAGTGGGCCAGAGCCATATACTTATATTATGGCCTGAAGTCAACTGAAGTGGGCTATTTGTATTTCCAGGAGGCCATTGTATACATTCAAGTGTGTCTACTTTAAGTATGTCAATCATGTGAAGTCATGTATGTTAAGTATGTAGAAAAACTCAAACTAGACATGTTATTGTGTTTGTTGTGGTGTGTTCAGCGGGGATGTGCTGGCTGCAGCAGAGCCAGGAGCAGCGCTGTGACATGGTGCTGATGCGCGGGGTCAGCAGAGAGGAATGCTGCGCCAGGGGCCGTCTGGACACGGCCTGGTCCAACACCAGTCTGCCCATCAACGAGGTCAGCCTGCTGGGCTTCCTGGGAATCGTGTCCTGCAAACTCTGCAAAGGTAACAACACACTACAGTTCCCACAATGACCTGCAGTGAACCAACTGTGTCAAAATGACAGTATCAGTCAACCCTTTCATTAATGAGGGTGTTTTGCTTTTTCTCAAACTATTTGACTTAAAAGTAGATGCTGATTTATTTTGATTATGATTCCCTACTATAACAATCCTTGACTTTTTATCATTTTATCACAAACCACCATCCCTGGTAGTGTCCAAAAGGTACCTCAGACAAGTTAGATGGTTTTAGCTTCTCCATATGGTCCCCTCTGTTGTCAACCTCTGAAATGCAAGATTGGGTGCAGGTCTTCATTTGTCACTGTGGGAAAATGTAGTCACTGATAAGCAGTGGCAGATCTAAAACGAGTAACAGCTGCTCACAGGTGGCACCAAAACCTCATTACCCTTGTGCTCCTCTCAAAACATTTTTCATACTGCCACATTTCATTTAGATGTGTTGGAGCATATTTGGATGAATTAAAGATAGATTATATTTAATAGATAGCAACATAACTGACAATGAATGAAGCAAAGAAGTTAAGGGGCCACATTTTGAGTATAGTTCCAAATGGTAGCTCATTTGGCCATAACCACACCACCTGTCTTCTTCTTGGGATAACTTTGATCCATGTGGAATTTCCAAGCTAAATCGATTTCCAGAGGTCTCTTAAACGTTTTTTGAAAACCTAGCTGTGGATCTGGGCCAGGCGTTCCATCTAACTCTGTCCAGCTGTTTTGAGTCACTTCCACTATTGGAAGCCTTGGCCAGGTATTCAGGTTCACTCAAGGATATTTATTCCTGTTTTTAGAAACTAAGGTTGTGGAGGCACCTGAACATGTGCATGTGATCTCTGGACAGGGTATAGTGGATTATTTTAAGCCATGTCGGGATGGCCCCGTGTAGCTCAGTTGGTAGAGCATGGCGCTTGCAACACCAGGGTTGTGGGTTTGATTCCTACAGGGGGTCAGTGTGAAAAATAAAAATGTATACACTCACTAACTTTAAGTTGCTCTGGATAAGAGCGTCTGCTAAATGACTAAAATGTAAAAATGTAATGATTAGTGTCAGCAAGGCTGAAGCCTTTAGCAGCTACCAAATACCAATTGAATCCTAGTTTCAAAATGTAGTAGCATCCCTGCCAACGAGTGTATGATGGATGATGTTTTCTTCTTTCAATGGAGATTAAGGCTATTCCTAGCATGCTGTTTATTACCTAAACGGTATCAGCCAAATCAACAGCAGCATTAGAATGACAAGGAAATAATGAAATGTTCTCATTAATAACAAGATGCTTCAATGATAAGTGTATGAACTCAAGTGATCCAGAATGAGAAGCAGACACGTTATGAAAGACAAGCTATAAAATTCAATCATTTAGCTGCATTTGTATATCTCTATCGAGAGGCTGGTCTATCACTTGGAACTGTTCACTAATATATCTCTTCAAAGTTGTAGTGCAAATGAATGAAATTGAACAAATCTAATAAATGGGCAATAACCTTCCTCCGCATCCCTCCTCCCTCCTCTAATTCACTCTGCATGAATTATTTCCCAATGCTGGCTGGGACACAGGCCTGGTTGCCTCCCCTCAGAGAAAAAAATGAATTCCTGTTTACCACAGGAGAAATGTCTGCCACATGCCCAGACGTCTGTTCCTCATAATGTGGAGCACTATCTGGATCATTAGTCAGACTGAAAGAACAGAACTACAGCATCAATGTATATGTGATACTGTGGGGAAGTGCTGTTCTATTATCATAGCACTCCCTGTCAGACTCAGACTGAACCTCCACAGTTGGTCCTCTGGGGGCTACTGATTTCCAGTGTTTCAAAGCATTCCTGGGTGTTGACTAGCGCTCCATGTCTGGCCTATTTTTCAATCTGCATTGATTTGTGAAAACGTATAAAATCATAACAGGCTGCCAGTAAACCGGACCAAAACATCACAGAAAAAGGGAACTGCTTGGATTCGCTGGAAGGGAGGGGGACAAATCTGATACTTGTGTGAGAAACCCAGAGGTAGCAGAGTTGGCCTCTTTGGAGATGGAGAATAACAGGATATTAAAGCAAGTGCTCGCAGAGAAAGGCAATAAAGTCCTGCTTTTCTACCGGATCTCAGGGATCAGGGCCGAACATCACTCTGTATCAGGATCAAACGGGTCCCGAGAAGCCTGTTGAAAAGTGGCGATGGTATCTGTGTTGTTTTAGGGTTACAGTACTAGGATACTTCCTATTGACCTGGCTGGGCCTTGGACAGTCTACTAGTGTCCGTTTAGCCTGCGTTTCCTCCTGCCACATCTGTCAGCCTGTAAAGCCCAGTGACATGCCTTTGAACTGGCTCGGTCTGCTCAAACACCCCTCCATCCATCTATGAGGCTTAGTCCTGCCTTTATCATTACAGGGATCCATCCCACTGTTATGGGAACAGGCACAACCTCAGACACATTCTTACAGACTAGACATCCTTGAGTATGACCATAAACAAAATATGTGTTTATTGTAAATGTTTTGCTGGATGAATCATGCTGCGGTGAAATACAATATTTTTCATCCATTTGTTCTGTTCTGTGGAGAATGCATCTTGAGCATCAGTTGATCTGGATCACTTGATGACAGACCATTGAATTTAAGTAAATGCTTCGACAATAATACTGACTTTCTACTCTATGTTTTGCAGAGACGTGTGATGGTGTGAATTGTGGCCCAGGGAAGGTGTGTAAGATGATGGCTGGACGTCCTCAATGTGTGTGCTCTCCTGACTGCACTAACGTCTCCATAAAACATGCTGTGTGTGGGAGCGATGGGAACTCCTACCATGATGAGTGTGCCCTATTGATGGCCCGCTGTAAGGGACACCCTGATTTGGAGGTCATGTACCAGGGAGAATGCAAAAGTGAGAACACCTGTGCCCTCGAAATAGTTATCTTGCATGTCAGCAATTTGGTTATTTCAAAACGTAATTGTGCTACTGAAGCCATATTACACACATTATTGGATACAAATAATAAACATTCCTTTGTAGCGATACTGGATCACTAATGCATTATGTGTCCATGTTCTGTCCAGAGTCGTGCTCCAATGTGGTGTGCCCGGGTACCCACACCTGTGTGACGGACCAGACTAACAGTGCCCACTGTGTCATGTGCCGCATGACCCCCTGCCCAATACCGCTGAAGTCCGAGGTGCCTATATGTGGCAATGACAACATCACTTACCCCAGCGCATGCCACCTCCGCAGAGCCACCTGCTTCCTGGGGCGGTCCATAGGAGTGCGTCACTATGGCAACTGCTCTAGTAAGTCCCCTTCACCTTTCCTGATCTGTCAACACAGCCTAAGTATAGAAATGAATAAACAACCTAAATCGATTTTTTCTAATGTGACTTTAGATATTTAGTACTTTTAGTACCGTTGTCTTTTCTTAGCACTTTGCATTGATTTGGCATGTGTTGGCTGTGCTTGATCATTTTGTCTTGGGTTCTCTCTCTCAGGTGTTCCGAGGAACACTCTGGATTTGGAGGGCAGTGAGGAGAATTCACTCTAGAGGAACAGTTCTGGTGTGGTCCACCTGGTACTACAGTCCACCTGGTACGAAGATTTCCAAGAGATCACCTTCGATAGGGGAACCAGTGTTGTCCCACTGTTCACTCCCCAAGCTCTGATTGATGTTGACCTCTTTTTTACAATCACTTATCCCCTCCATCCCTACTACCTGTACATAGAATGACGATACATTTGATGTGGGAGAACCTGCTGGAAGTAACCGTTTTTCTTCCAAAAGGAAACCAATACTGTATTTGTTGATGCATGCAATGTATGTTAAATGGGATGATTTGCTCGTAAAACTGTGGAGACAGATGAAAGGCATATATCTTGAAAAATAAATATGTAGTCGACTTTGAGTAGAGGAATATATGTGTATATTGTAAATAAATACCGCTACTATTTATTGGAGAAGGTATCAAATCTGTTATATTTATGTTTTTACCCTGTATACAAATCCATATATCCATAGGTCAGCTTTTACAAAAAAATGTATTTATTGTGTTTTGTTTTTAGGTGTACATGTATTTCAATGGTCACTGGCATTCTTTTATTTCAAAGAGTTGTTTTTATTTTTGTGTTTTTTCATATCCCTAAATGAAGTGCTTTAACCCCCTAAAAGCAGCATGGCAAGCAACCTCAATTTGTTTGGAAACTGGATAGCACATTTAGAGGATGACAAAATGGTTTCCATTCGCTCTCAGCAAAACAGGGCAACTGCTGTCTGTGTTTCAGTCTTTGTTTGGAGGTGAGGGGAGACTCAGCCAAAACAAAACTATACAGTATGTCTCCTCTCGCTCTGCCTGCACAGAGTACGACACTGTTTATGCTGGAGCCCAATCAAAACTCTGAGCCACCCACTGATTACTTAAATTAACAGTTTAGTTCAGTCTGCAGCAGTTTTATTAGGCTGTTGGTTCAACCCCAAGCCTTTACAATACCTCCACTGTTGAAGTCTTGGCTTTGTTTATTTCATATGTTTGTGTGTCATACGAGTTCAATATAATGCCATTCGGGTTGTTGAATACACCATAATAGTGGAACTGAAAAATCGGACAAATGTTGTTAGCCTTATCAAATTGAAAACAGAATCAAATTTGTCTGGGAATGCCAAATGACCTCAAGTTAACTCACCGGATCCCCAGACTATGAAGCTGAATATATCTGTTCAATGTTGAAATACTGTCAACCATTTGAACCAAACGGGCAGATAGCTATTTGCAAATAGCTATTGGTTATTTTGATGTGAATTAATAGTGCTGCCCATTTATCTAGATGATTTCATTGATCTTTGGATTAAAAAAATATATACATAAGGTTGTTGAACAATTAAAAGTAGTTTCTTGTAAATACAACTCCATTTCATGTACATGTACCAGTGTACCTACTGTGAAATTTGAATGATTATTTTTGTATTTTTGTACTCAACATAAACTATAGTATTTGTCATGATGCCTCTTTCATTTCTGGTGCAACTTCAACAGTCATTAAATTCAGCACAAATGAGTAGCACCTGTTACACTTGTCAGAATAGTCTCTCTAGCCTGGGTACCAGTCTCTTTAGCTAACATTGGCAATGACAAGGAGTGGCAAGGAGTGGAATGTTAGCTAAAGAGACTGGTACTCAGGCTATAGTCTCTCTGGTCTAGTGCATAATTCCAGATAGGCTTTGTCCTACCCTCTGTTCTTAACTCTCTATCATACAATATATCACTTACAGTACAGACACTGTATGCACAGTAATTGCCATTCTATATGGAATGTTTACATGCCTTTTGTCAGTCTAACAAGACACACAATAGTAAAGAAATGTATCAATGGCAGTCATTGCAAGCCTCATGGGGCTGTCGTGACAAGCTTATATGCACAGCATCTATCACTTACTGCCAAAAGGAGGTCACGTTCATGATTATGAACTGTGGTGAACTGTCCACGTTAACTACCCTCACAGAGGAGCAGCATGGTGGGCTAGAGTGATGGAAGGCTTTTACTATGCTGCAGCCTCTGTACGTGCAATGGCCCTGGTGGCTGACAGCCCACTGACAGGCTTCAGAGGAGGGGAGAGGAGACCAGAGGAGAGGGGCGGTGGAGCATCAAAGCAGGGGGACAGGCCTCCCTTTCCTGTCCCTGAGGAGCCCCCTCTGGGGGAGAGGAGGTGGGTGAGGTGAGAGACAGAGGGCCACTGACTGACTCACTTTTCTGTATGAAATACCTTCCTTGTTTTCCTTACTCTGACTGAGAACCACTCCTGGACTGACTGGGCCAGCATCTGGTTTAACTTTGGGAGATGTTTATATTCTGATCCAAGCACCCTTTTATTACATTGGAAATGGAATTAAATGTTTGCTCGAACTGGAAATAACAATGCCATTGTAATGAGTACTGAGGATACGAAAAGGCAGGAATCAACAAGGTAAAGGTTTACTTAACAATGAGAAAGAGAATAACAAAGAGCGAGTAAACGACACAACGCTAATAATTACACACAATGACTGAACAGTCCAGGGCTATATAGTGGTGTTGATGAGATGATGAGGTGCAGGTGCGCTGGAGGTGATTAGGGTGCATTGGGTTTCCATTCCTGTGTTGCCGAGGTGGTGTGCTCAGACCGGTGGCTCAGTAGACCGGCGAATTAGAGCGCCGGAGGGGAGCAACAGGAGGAGACGTGACAGTACCCCCCACCCCCCCCCGGATGCGCAGCTCCCGCCACAGGACGTCGCCAGCCTTGAGGACGACCCTGAGGACGAGGAGCGGGCCGGTCGGCGACGGTGGAAGTCCCGAATTAGGTTGGGGTCCAGAACGTCCCCAGACGGAACCCAGCTCCTCTCCTCAGGGCCATACCCCTCCCAGTCCAGCAGGTAACGGAGCCGTCCCCCACGGAACCTGGAGTCCAGCAGGTCCCTCACAGCATATGCCGGACTCCCATCAATGTCCAGAGGCGGAGGGAGCGTACCCCGGGGGACGGCATCCGCCAGAGGACCAGGAACCACCGGCCTAAGGAGAGCCACATGAAAAGTAGGTGAGACACGGTAGTGAGGAGGAAGGAGCAGCCGGTACGACATCACATTAATAAATTAACTTGGTAAAGTAAAGGGCCCCTCATAGCTGCTCGATGGCCGTCGGAACCAGAGGGAGGGGGTACCGGTACTTGATGGTGACTGCGTTCAGCCCCCTGTAGTCAATGCACGGCCTCAGTCCTCTGTCTTTTTTGGCCACGAAGAAGAAGCTGGCAGAGGCAGGAGAGGTAGAGCGGCTGATGAACCCCTGTTTCAGGGTCTCCGCCACATACTTCTCCATGGCCTCAGTCTCCGCCATGGAAAGGGAGTAAATGTAACTCTGCGGGGGGTGATGTCCCTCCAGCAGGTCAATGGCGCAGTCCCAGGGCCTGTGAGGAGGGAGACACCTAGCCTTTGAGGAAGAGAAGACATCGGAGAGATCTGCGTACTCACGTGGAATGTTGGGCTGGAGGGCAGACTCCAGACTCTCCACTGATGTGGAACAACAAACCAGCGGCAGGCAGGTCTTCCGGCATGAGGTGGACCAGGCTGTGATCCTCTTGGTGATCCAATTGATGGTGGGGTTGTGTGGTCTGAGCCAGGGCAATCCCAAGACGAACCAGGGAAGGGGTGACGTGATGATGTGGAATGACAGCTCTTCGTGGTGCTCCGGTAGTGTGGGAATGGTGGTGATGGTGATGGGAAGAGTGACGTGTGTAATGGTGCCTGATCCAAGTGGTTTATTGTCCAGCGAGGTGACGTGTAGCGGAGAAGGCAGTGGCACGGTGGGCAACCCCCATTCAGAGACCAGCTCCCTATCTATAAGGTTCCCTGCTGATCCGGAATCTATAATTTCAGTGGAAATGGAGGAGAAGGAATAACCAGTCACCGTTATGGGAACTAAAAACAATGGTTTTGTGACAGGACTCATACCGCCTAGATTGGGAGCCGCCAGGAGATCTGTGTTCCGTGGTGGTGTAGAGGGTGCTGCCCACCTCCATGAGTGAGGACTCAGAGGCAGGGCGGCTTCCATAGCTCAGATGGGGTGAGAGTCGAGGCTCTGGGAGGTGTTGGGAACACCGTCTGTCTCTCAACATGTCGTCAAGACGGATGGACATGGCAATGAAGGTATCAAGGTCCATCTCGTCGTGCAAGGTCCATCTCGTCGTGCAAGTTCCGTCGTGATGTCCTCCCGTAAGCCTCTACTGAAGGCTGTGCGCAGAGCACGCTCATTCCAACCGGAAGACGCCACCACCGTGCGAAAGCTCAGAGCGTACTCGGACGCGGGCCCCTCTCCCTGTTGTAGCTGGAGGAGATGCTCACCCCTGTCCTTTCCCTCCGTGGGATTATCAAACACCGCCCTGAACCAAGAGAGGAAGGTGGAGTAGGGAAGCGCCGCAGCCTCACCTCCTTCCCAGACTGCCGTGGCCCAATCCAGCACCTTTCCTTTAAGTAGCGAAATCACCAGCGCTATCCTGGCTTGGTCAGATGGATATGCCTCAGGCTGACACACCAGTTAAAGTGAAACCTGTAGCAGGAAGCTGCTACATTTAGCAGTTTTATCGTCATAGCGCTCCGGTAGGGCGAGGGGGTCCCTCAGAAGTTGGTGATAGCACGGTAACAGGTGGACTGGGTGCACTCGCCGCTCCCTGAGGTGGAACTGGGGCGCTGGGCAGATTATGCAGAGTTTGGAGCACTTCCTGCATGGTGGCGTTCAACTGGGCAAGCCGCTGCTGGTGCTGGTCGAGGCGCTGGGAAACTCCAGGAGGATTACCTGCTGCATCCATTTTCGTGAGAGGTGTGTAATTCTGTGACGAGTACTGAGGATACGAAGCGGCAGGACGCAAACATCAACAAGGTAAAGGTTTACTTAACAATGAGAAAGAGAATAACAACGCGCGAGTAAACAACACGATGCTAACAATTACACACAACAATGACTGAACAGTCCAGGGCTATATAGGGGTGGTGATGAGATGATGAGGTGCAGGTGCGCTGGAGGTGATTAGGGTGCGTTGGGTTTCCATTCCTGTGTTGCCGAGGTGGTGCACTCAGACCGGTGGCTCAGTAGACCGGCAAATCAGAGCACCGGAGGGGAGCAACGTGAGGAGACGTGACAGCCATTGAAAAGTGGTTGTTTTTCTGATATGTGTGCATCTTATTTCTTATTTCTTATTCTACAATTTCTCTATTGTAAATTATGTTATTTTCTTTTCTGTTTTCTAATTAAAAGATACAGTATCAGATGACATAGCGGGAAGAATGTGTCACACTGCTAACCCACCCATTCCATTTAGCCTAGTTTACAGAGTTCTGGTACTAACTTTAATGGCCTGATGATGTTGTCATCAGCAACCAAGACCTGACCTCAATGTGATCCAATGGCATGCACCACTCTTTTTTTGTCTAAATGCTCGATAATGCCTTAGTGATAATTGGCATATAAAAGTATATTACACAGGCTATTCTATATTACAGTAAAGTACCCAAGGGCCTAAAATTTAAGGAATTTCAAGTAAAGTTTAATTATGGAGAATGCATGGGAAAATGTAAACGCTTTAAGGCGGTGGTTCCCAGACCATTATGGGGATGTGATCCATCTAAAGCCTTTTCAATTGTATTGTGACCCACCCAATAAACAAAACCAATGTTTCTGGCACCAATCTAGACTAAACTGTGACTCAAAGGAATATCTGTGACCGAACAGTAGAATAGAATACAACTTTATTGTCAATTAGTTCGAAAAATATATATATTCTGCCTTTCCCAACACCCCAGATACCAGAGGAGGCTGGTGGAAGGAGCTATAGAAGGACGGGCTCTTTGTAATGGCTGGAATGGAATTAATGGAACGGTATCAAACACATCAAACATATGGAAACCACATGTTTGACTCTGTTCCATTAATTCCATTCCAGCCATTACAATGAGTCTGTCCTCCTATAGCTCCTACCACCAGCCTCCACTACCAGATACACACACACATATTGAGAGGCACAGGGTCAGCAGCAGTGCAGCGCCCCTGGATGGAGAGCAATTGTGGGGGGTTAAGTGCCTTGCTCAAGGGCACAAAGACAGGAAATGGTACATGGGATCAGAGAACAGCAGCCTTCCAGCTGCCAGTTCACGTCCATTCCCATTTTTGTGTTGCCCGGCCCGGGGCTTGTGATTTGTAGCACAACATGATCACATGCTCCACAGTGCAATCTGTTTTCTACACATAAGGGGGCTGTTCTGAAGGCCACTTCCTGAATGGAAGGAGTGGGACTGAGTGTGTAATCCTGCTGTAGAGGATGCGTCATGCACATCCGTGGGTTTTCCCAGAACACACTGCTCTGTTGCTCTGAATCCAACAGATGCACATGGCACAAACCCCTCTGTCTTGAGCTCCAAGTGAAATGTTTAGACTTTCAAACAAACACTTGTAGCAACTGAGTGTACACACTCAAGTTT